TAATTCCTCATTGGTCAACTCGAACCACCAAATTCAAATTCGGCGCACGGGTAATGCGCAGTAGGTCTCGTATTATATTATGTAAGGGTGCAGATATTTTAAATAGTGCAAATGGTAGGTGTGAAATGAGAATTTGTGCAGATTAGTGAACCACTCGGTGAGGAAATCAGGAAATCAGGAAGGAAATCACCAGGAATTAATGGAAATCAAGGGAAATGTAGGATAGTTAATCAATAGTGAAGTGGCCAAGGCCCTGGCTCATCCCTTTTATATCATTTCAATTTCAATATAGATTTTCTTCCTCTCCTTTTATGTTAGCACCACTGGTTCAAACTATATCCGTTGCTAAATATGCCAAAAATTTTTTAACAATTTTCAATAATTATCATGTTTCTTCTTGAATCATGATGATGATTATTCGTCAAAAGTTCCAGTTTAATACGACAAGTGCAAAAATGTCTTTCTCGTGAGAATAAATCGAATCTTGCTAGAGCGAAGAAACAGATTGGTTCGTAGAACAAGTCGTAACTCTGGAATGGAGGCACATGTGTACCTTACAGAAGCGTTAAATCGAAGGTTAGACACTTTGGAAACTACCTGCCATTGTATATACCTATTCCTAAAATTACATTCACACATGAGCGATTCGAGTTATTGCCGTATGCGTACTCCTTTATTAAATTGCATGTGCAGTTTACACTGCGGACTAATGAACAAGTGTTTACGACATTCCGTGCATCATATTCTAAATTATTCTGAGGTCATCATGTTCATTTGTTTAAAAAAAAAAATCAACACTAGCTTTTCCATCTGATAACTCACCACTCTCCACTCGTTTCTTATCAATTAAACATGATGGTGGTAATTTCACCCTCGAAATTTATTATTATTATCACAATCTACTGCATTATATTTAGTCTAATTATTTTTCTTTCAGAAATACGTGAGCGAAGTTTCTACAGTTCGAGATTGCGTAAATAGCTGTGTAGAAAAGGGTGAGTAATTTTATAATTATGTATATGTAATTTGTAATCGATTAAAAATGAAAATTCAATGAAAATTAATAATTCACCGGAAAACATGTTTTTCAAATTTTCAAAGTTGCTGATGACTTATGAATTTTAATTATGATATAAATTATAAATAAGTATTATAAATAAAATATTAATAAAAATAGAATATTCATATCCAGGGATAATTTATGAATCGATGAAATCGAAAAATATCGATTCGAGTGATCGATATAAAAATCGAGTATCGATGTTGGAATGATCGATTCTTTCAAAAATCGATCATTAATCGATCGAGTGAGAAGACCTCATGATTTTGAAATTTCAAGTGTAATTTTGACTGAATCTTCTCTGACAAATTTTATGGGATTTTGTATAGAGAACTGTAAGGGAATGACAGGATGCCCCAGTGAATAAAAAGCCCCGGATTTTTCCGAGCTTTTGACGTTGAGACGTTATACGAAATTCCTCCCCTCACCCTCAGTATATTTACTAGGTACATACAAGTGCATCTACCATGTACATGTAACCGTTGAAATGTACTTTATCCCTGTGTCGGGAGGCATCCGAGATTTGGGACAGACAGTCTCACTTCCGTCTCCCTCTTGTTATTTCCCAATGAGAGAAACGGATTATTTAACAGAAGACTCGGACCCCAGGACTAGATAAACAAATTTACATAACAAACAAATCGATTCGCCCCCATTCTTCCAGAATTTCTCCTCCACCATTGTGATCCTCATTTTTTCCCTTCGTCGACACGAAAAAAAAATTTTCCCACTCGACACTCAATCTCATTCATTCTCCTTTTGTTATTATTTTTTTATCATATATAAAATAGCCAGCGGTTAAAGTAAATGGATTACTTAAACAATTTATTTGGAAAAATGGGAAATCTTCTCGGACATGTCTTGCTTGGAAAATTACTTATGCTGGAAAACAATTGTTTGCAGTTATTATTTGAGATCTAATTTTATTCTATTTTTGTTTACTTTAATTTATTTTCTTGTTGGAAGTCTGTTTATAGGGGGAGAGGGAGGGGCAGAGTATGTATTGATTTGATTTCTGATTCAGTGTTTGAGATATTCGGGTGGAGGTGAGGGTGGAGTTGAACCAAGTGGTGAATTAGTTCATGAAGAATTCAGTGACGGCATCTGAGGTTCAATCAATTTTATTATTTCATGAGGGCCGAGGAGGATGGAGGAAAATTTACAGTCCCTGCAGGTGGTAACTTCATTTTATTGATGCATCTTACAATGTCAGACATTTCGAGAAATTTTCAGGTGTTGGAGTTCAATTTTAAATTGAAATTCTCACTGAATCTCTCAGTTCTCATCTTGGAAATAAAGAAAAATGAGTTTCTCATGCTTGATCACCGATTTAATGAATATTAAATAAATATTCAGGAAGTTAGTGGATTCGTTAATGGAGAATTTTGCATTCCCATCTCCTCAACTTTTTGTTAATGTTAATGTATGTTATAAATTATTCTGGACAATTATTTTTATTCGCGAGAGGAAATCTTTTTAGGATGAGAAATAGTGTCTTAAAGTTGACGTTAGTGTCCTAATTCCTTGAGACATTAAATATATATTTCATACATTTCCGGAGAATGTCTTTCGCGTTATGATGAAAGAATTGAAAAGAAAACTATTACAAAATGTAATTAAAATGAATTATTCACGAACTCCGAGAATTCAAAAACAGTCCCGAGAAGTTCATCGTTTTTCAATTTAACATCATACATTTAATGTTGAACTTTAATCGGTGTTTGTGACTCACTAAAAGCATTTGAAAAGCATTTCACCACTTTTACCTCTTTTTGAGGATAAAAATATTTGTCACCATATCCATTACTGGCATTCCCTGAGTATCTCGGCGCAACGAATAATAGAATTCATATCTTTATTTTTTAATAACAATTTCCAGCAATCAATTGTCGTGGGGGAAACTTGCGAATAAAAAAACTCTAAATTACCAGAATCATTTGCTATTTTAAAAATAATAATAAATATAAATGTCGCAAAGTTCTCTTCATAATTATCGATTTCCCAAGCCCTCGGTGCGGAAAATGTCACTTTGCACACTGTGTCGATAAATTTTATCCGATGCACGTGAATAATTAATTTAGCCCTTGTATCGGATAACACTATTTTATCAATGTGAAAAATAGATTTCGACTGGAATAGCTCAGGTGTGAGGTAAAATAGGGAGGGAATTTGGAGTTGGCGAACATCAACTTCGCCTAGAGCCATTCCCTTAATACATAAGTCGTTGGGGGAACTTGTCTCACATGGAATTTGGATAATGGTATCACGGGGATTGGTCTCAGCGGTTATTTTACGAGACTGAAAATGTATATCACAGTAGTAATGGCTCTCAATTGCCGACGATTGTCCGACAATTTGGAAACAGATGGTTCGGTGAATAAATGAGTCTCGACTCCATCTCCTTTTTCTTCATCTTCTCCAAACCACTGGTGCCTCTCGTTTCTCACTTTCCGGCTAAATAAATTCCCTCGTTAGGTGAATGAGAAATTTTAACGAATACCTAATGAAAATGCATGAAATACCCGAGAACCTGTAAATCACGTGTGCATCTCATAATATCTTGGGTATATAACGATTAATTTCATTTTGCAATTCATGCATCACTGAATTTTTTAATAACCGCATATAAAATCCACTGGATTTACATTTTTATTGCGTTTGCTGGACCTGTCTTTTAATGGATTACTAAATCTCTACAATACAATATTTATTTTATTTATTTCCGTTATCAACTTTTCCTCATGTTAAAATTTTTTTTCAAAATTTTTCCAACGACAATAATTCTCTCCTCAATTTTGTTATCAAAAAAATCTGCTAAGTCATATAAAATTCATGAATAATAAATATAAATACAATACTCAAAACAACAATAAAAAAAAGTTTTTGATGATATTGCTTTTTGTCAGTGAATATATTATATATTTGGAGTACATAGAAGTGGCTGGTGATGGAAGGGCTTAAAATAATCCATGAATAGGGTTTGAAAACTCGATGCTATAACTTTTTTGGCAGCCCTCACAATAACTCGGGAAAACGAATTTCTCTCTCTCACTCTGTGTCATGAAGTACATGAAGAAGAAATATTAGTACTTGGAGGATGGAAAATGGATTGGAAGAGGTCGAGGGGTCATGGGCATTGAGAGAGGCATCATGAGAAACGAAGAAGAGTTGGATGGTCATGGGGAATGAAGCTGAAGCAGATGCTTTTGATCCTTCTCACTGGTTTATTCAAAAAATGTTGGGAGTATAAAACGAACTCAATCGATTTCTGATTACCACACGATGCAAAGAGAGCCAATACCACTATCTACATTTTCTCCTCCACTTTGGTTTCACCGTGTCCCCTTTTTTTCGTTCTTTATGTTGCCCTGTGTCAAAGTGTCCAACCGAATTTTCTATTCTAGTGATGGGAAACACTGAGCTAGAGATAAATCAGTTACGAAAAGTGCGAAAATTTCAAGGGAAATGCCAGAACACATCCACCAGGGGAATTTCATTCAATTTGTCTCGCGAAATTATTAATTTTTGATTAGACTAGATTAATCAGCAGAGGCAAGTCTATTGCCACTGGAGATATCCACTGAATTATTATTTTCAATGATTAATAATTAATTATATCATTGATTTATTGTTATCATTATTATTGATTATTAAATGATTATCGGATAATATAAATTTTTGGGATTCCCCCAGTTATATCAGGCCAATGGGAAATGTATTCCTAATTATTAAATATTATTAATATATTCTCTTATTGCTCTTTATTATTAATTATTAGCCGTTATTAATTATGTGCTAAATTAATTTTTTAGTTATATCGTAATTTATTGAATATTTTGTAGAAAAAAATTTTGGGTAATAAAATTGAATCTTTTGGTTTGGGATATTTTGCAGAGGTATGGGGCACCCGGACTTACTGCTGCCAAGATGATGGATGTAATCGCGGTACTTCGAGCTTTTACGGTGGTACACTCTGGATGGCATCCTTGGGTCTTATCGCTGGTCGACTTCATGGCTAATGAAGATTTCAATTCCTACATTTTCCTGGCGGAGATAATTCGATAGTAAAAAAATATCCACGTGAAAATCCGTAATAGTAAGCGTTACCGGAGGTCAATAAATATTGGACATGGAATCGAACATCGGAATTCAGTGTCTTCCATTGGACAATGTAATTATTATTATGCACTTTGGTAATTATATACCCTCCATTGCACATATTATCCGTGAGCAATTACAACATTATGTTGTAATTATTATTTCAGAGGGAGAATTTTAAAAGGAAATCATCTCAATTTGTTAATTACGCTTGTTTTTCGTCGGGAATTATGATTGTGTAATTAGAGTTTCAATTAATAATTTCTTAGTAATTGTAACTCGTAATTACAACCGCGAAATTTACGAATTTACGAAATTTACAGAATTTACGAGTTGAACGTCGTAATTTGAGTTTTTAATTTCGTCATTATTGGATTGAACTCGATTTAAAACATGTTATTTTATTATTTATTTATTTATTCTTTTATATACATCGTGAAGTATATACTATGATCCACGGTAGCGTTTACCTATAAAGGATGTTGTCGTCATTTTTTCCTATGGACACGGTAATTTTTACTATTTAATTATTCGCAGTATCGCTTCAACATTCGTTCAGATTGAAAAATTGAAAATTCAAACAAAAATTCACTCCACATTGCCATGAAAATAACGCAAACAAATGAAATTTTCATTTTATCCTCGAGTGAATAAACAAGAATGATAATAATAACAATAATAATATTAATGATAGCGCTTTGAAGGGATTATTTGCAATATATCATCGAGTTTTGAATGCAATATTTTTTTTCTGAATTAAAAAATCGTATCTGCCAAGTGGGTGGTCAAAAAAATCGGCAAAAAAATCGGAAAATAGTTTTTCTAAGGCCCGAAGGGTAGAAAAAAATCTAGGTCAATTGAAAAAAAAATGCGCAGCCGACTCATTTTTTTATTCAATAATACAAAAATAACATCTCTCCGTCATAATGGAATTCCCTGTTTCCTGCGAGCGGTACTTCAATTTTCAATTTTTCTTTTTGTTCCATTTACATCAATTTCCCTTTTTTCCGTTAGTGCGGAGAGACGATTCATTTTTCTCTGTATATGAACTTCGTATATATCCATTTATTATCCTTGTGCCATTTTTACCGCCATTCCTCTTCGTTTGCCGCTCCAGTTAAAGGAAAGACGTTTAACGAAAAAGTGAAAAAATCTAAATGATGCATGAATATATAGCTATTTGACCGATATACTCCACTTTTACATACACATATATTTTACGAATCAGGACAGTATGAGCCGAGTGGTAAAAGGTGAAGACTTGGTTGACAAGAGAAAAAAAAATAATGAACAGATTTTTTTTTCGGCTCCACAATCACATAAACCACTTATTGAGGTCTTGCTATTCATAAATATTATACAAAAAAAGAAAAAATATTGTTATCGTTACTATTACCAATTGCTAATGAATTATCTACTTATTAATACTTGGAGTAACGGCAGGAAAAGCAATTGTTAATAAAAATATCATCAATCAGCACTAAAAATCGACTGTATTAATTGATGATCAACCGATTACACTGGATTATTGGCATTTTCTCAGATAATAACTTGATAAATTTTTAAGGAATTCGAAGTAAATTAAAGCGATGAAAAAAATTGAATAAACTGAATATCATTATACATTAATAAAACATTAATTATTATTGCTTCACTAGGATTTACCAACATGCTCGATTGATAAAATCATAAATTTATTGATGAGAATAATAAGTGAACAATTATGCTATAACATTCGAGTATAGTATCGAGTCTGTTATTACCGATAGTTTTGCGTATGAAGACTCGCTTGTGATAGTATTACATACTGTTAATCAAATTTTATTGGAGAATATCAAAAGTTATTATTGAATGAATGAGATTGATTTATTTGAAAGTCAGAACGCGTATTTTATAAATAATAGATATATTAGATAGATTTAAAAATCTTAATCCTTCGTTAACTCGAGGCTGTGTGGGAGGAAGATCACTTCAAGCATCTAATTATTTATTAACTCACTTATTCTTCTCACCGTGAAGAACAATCATTGTTAAAATATTATATTACAAGTGTTGTAATGACAATTTTAGGATTTTTTTCTCTCTTTAGACAGAACAACTGCCTAGAGAAATATTTCTGATAACTGGAGGTTCACCTTCCGGAAATGATCCCCCTTACCACACAATTACTCAAATCCTATTTGGTATTTCTTCGTAATTCGACAGAAAATATAAAAAATATATATATATATTAACGGACCGTAACGCAATTGCATTTCCATCATTTTCCCCCATTATACATTTGAATAGATACACCCCATCAATTCCCACAGAAACTGAATAAAAGGAAAATAAAATGGACGTGATAAACGCGATTGAAAATAGTACAAAGATACAATAAACGATAAAAAAAACCATTGAAACAGGACGATCAAAAGAAAATGGAAACAAACGATTTGAATCATCACTGGATTTTTAAAAGAGAACGAAACGAATTCGGGGACAAGAAAAAAACCTTCACTTCCCCTGAGATATTCTCGGTTTTGTCATATAAAACGATTAAATAAAAAACTATCACTCATGTATCGTAACAATTGTACATTTATAATAGAAAGCCGCAATAAAAAATCGATCCGTTAATCCCTGAATTTTTATTGATCTGTTATCTCCTTTTTTTCTATCTAATAGAATTTTCTTTTCAGGATTTATTTGTTACGATGAAATATCCCGCGCACGTGGATCCATTGTTTAATCATTGAATAATTATTCACTAGGGGAAAATATGTCAAACCACTCGTTTTAGAATTAGTACGCTCTGCTGTCTATGAAATTTGTCACAGAGCATGCTGATTCTTCGACAAGTGCCACTGGCAAAAAGCGTCAATGACCAAAAGTACTCGAGTGATGTGGATTGTAATTCATGTAAAAAAAAAAAAAACGAGGCGATCGGAAATCAATGGATGTAAACATCTGTCAAATCACGACGAATGCACGAATGATAACAAGAGAATTCCAAATAAATGCCAGATAATGAAATACGATGAACAACGGGGGCTGCGTCATTCACGGGTGGCGGAAAAAATATCCCCGGAAAAAATTTCCCGGAAAAAAAATCCCGGAAAAAATATCCCCGGAAAAAATATCCCCGGAAAAATATCCCCTCAATCATACATTTCATTTCTGTCACCCTTTTTTTTATGTACATATTTTTCCAGAGGTGGGGGGGCGTAGAGGGGGGTCCAGGGGGCCCCCTCCCACTCCCCACATACCACATTAAATGAAAATTTGAGAAAAGGAAAAAAGATTTTTTTTTCATGGGGAATCGAACCCTTAACCCTTTTATATGTCATAATAAATAAAGAAATTTTTTTCTAAAATGCATTTTGTAAATTATTAAAATTAGGATTTTTAAATATTTATTATTAAGAATTAAATATTAGAATTTTTCTTGGCGATAATTTTTCCGGGGATATTTTTTCCGGGATATTTTTTCCGGGGATATTTTTTCCGGGGATATTTTTTCCGGGGATATTTTTTCCGGGGATGTTTTTTCAGGGATTCGTCATTCACAGATGTCATTATTTCCACAATTCCCTACCATCACAGAAATATATCTTTTCAATTCTCCATAAATAGTCGTATTGATAAATTATTTCAATGAATTAAAAACGAGTAATGACTCAAAATTATAATTCCCCCAGTGATTCATCTCATAAGGCCATTTTTTAAATTAAATATTCAAAAATTAATGGAACAGTCATAAATATTGTTAATTAATCATTTTGTATTGATTCTGGTTCTTCACGTGGGGGGAGTGGAAATTCGAAAAATGAAAATTCAGGAAACAATGTAATTCGTTTTTTATTTATAAATTCCATTGTTCGTCTCCATCAGTTTATTTATTTTACAACAGAACATGTAACACGATCCTCCAGAGGGTTGGATGTACTGGATGCACGTGGAATTCCTCTGCAAGCTCCTGGGACTAGGCCAAGAGAACTAGACCAGGAACGTCCAAATTTTATTCCACCACCAATGAGAAATTCGAACAATGTATTTTATTTTTGTTACTCAATTTACGTTGTCCTAGTTATTCATCCCTAGCAGAGTCTCATTACTAATAAAAAAAGACGTCGATGCATTGAAAATGCACGTATGGACGAGGGAGCAGCATCGGGTGGCAATAATGGGGAGTGAGTCTGCAGTTATTCCACTTGTTAATTCTGTAAGAATAAGAGAATTAAAGAAACTGTAGAGAATCCTCAGATTTTGTGATTGAGCACGTCGAATTCTTTAGTTGGTTTCATTTGTATTTTGAGTGGAATCGATCAGCGTGGAAATAAGGTCGAATGAAAATCCTGTCGAATTTATGCAAAAAAAAAATATTCTTTCACCTTTGAAAATTCGTGAATTCATGAATATTTTTCTAAACTAGAACAATTGCAGAAATTTGAGATCAAGATATTATCAATACCTCAAACTCCAAGTACAATCGACCATTGACTCAAATTTATTTAAAACTCCACGTGACACATTATATTCAACAAAATTACAATTCGTCATTGCATTGAGATATAATGAAATCACAAGGGATTAATTACTATTGTTCCCGAAGTTTGAAAGGTTGACAATACCTCAATAAAATATCAAAAGGATAATGAACAAACCTTAGTGTCACCCCTACCAAGAAATACAAGGCCAATAGCACCTGCGTACGCCATGAGCGTATCAACAGCCTGTTGTGTCTCCAAAAGTATTCTAGTCTCATTCATCCAATCTCGTGCGACTGATCTCGATGCGCCCTTGAGTAGATTCATGTACTTGAGAGTCATTTTAAAATCACCGCGATCCAACCAATACCTGCAATTTTTATTGATCAATAAATTAACAAGCACATCGAAAATTACCACAAAGATAAATGATAAATTGCCACCTGGCGCGATCCAACACGTCGTATGTATCCAATTTGCTGACGTCAATGGGTTCATCGGATAGTTCACTCTTTGATATCGGACTGATCGCTTTAACCAGGAGAAAACTCTGTAAGTAACTCAGCAGATATATGGGTAAGGAAGCGCCTTCGGCAGGTACAAGGGCGAGACGTCTTGCCATGTGCTCCACCTGGAATCAATCACTCATCAATCAAAGTCACTAGTTATTTACTTTCGAGTGGATCATCGTCACGAGTTAAAATTCAAGGGGATGGATATCCACAGTACACCAATAGAATAAAATACAAGATTAAGTAATGCCTGTGGAAATTACGAGCACTCTGAGTTTCAGCAATTCAATTATTTACGTAAGTTTTTAATGAATTTTACTCGACAGTTACGAAACTCCATCAGCGAATTCATTAAAATACATGAGCTTTTATGGAGAAATTAAAGTTTTATGTAACAACTGTCGAAACAATAGGTACTGAGGGATTCAAATTCTCGAAATAACTCGGAGGTTTACCTCGTGAATTATTGATTTTCATTTGACATACTTCGGATTTCGGTTGCTGAATTTTTATTCATCTATTTACTTGCCACTTATGTAATAAATAAAATAATTGGACTTTATTGCTTAGCATTAATTATTACTCCATCATGAGTGAGGGAGATCGAGTTAAGTATTTCGTTTAATTATAAATAGAATTTGACGTGTGATAAGCAACAATAGTCTTGTCACCATTTATTCCCTCCAGGTGTACCTAATCAATACCCAATAATCAATGAACACCATTCAATTGCTCGACACTAAAACGTCTTAAAATACCTCTTAATTGTCCTAAATTGAGTAAATGAATGATAAATTCGATAAAGACCTTTAGGAATCGTTCTCGGAGTGCATCCTCTGGGAAAACTCCGCGTTTGACCGCCTCTTCAGGTATTCCATCAAGTGTCGCCTTAACCAGTGCATCGTTCTTGGCTGTAAAAATCCAGAAAATCTCGTGAAACATCTCCGCAAGAACCACAGCCATTTCATTCTAAATCCCACCCCCTACATTCCACTAATCGGATTGTCTTCTCAATGTTCTCTCGTAAAGTGGTCTTATCGTTGGGTTTATTCTCCCATATAAATACTTTTTTTTTTAATAAAATGAAAGGAAAAATTGTCATTTGTTTTGAGGATTTGAGGATTTTATCGAGATGAAAGTGTTCTCACGTGCTACTTTGGAGATAGCATTTATTTCAGCCTCGAGTGGTCTCACTGGCCTGTCACTTGGTGTTCCTGTAGCTGTGACTTTTATAGCTCTTCCCAGGGCTTGACATGCTGCCCACAGCATCTGGGCATCGCAGGCACCTTTATCCTCGCTCAGGCGAACTTTAACAGAATGAATTTTTCATTTTTTCCTTTTGATTGGAAGCATTCGATAAATCCGAAATTCTTATCCTCTGTTTGACTCTTAAAATTCTGGCCATTAATTTTTTAAGTTTTTGGTTTTAGACCCGTCCTCGCGCTTCATGATATTTCAAATAATCTCCAGGGGAAATAGTAATTATGTCAGAGAGATAAAACTCGGAATAAATAGGCTGAATTATCCCAGCGCAGTTCAAATGAATAATAGCCAACACCGATACCATTAAAAATTCATCTCCCTTTATTTTTGTGTCATTAAATGCTCCTTAATGCGTCAATGAAAAATATTAAATGGAGTACTCACGCTTGAGTGCCTCATCCAGTCCTCGCAATCTACCAACAATGACTGCCAGCTGGGTTTTATACTTGATGGACTCAGCCTCTGCCTGTTCACTAGCTGCACGATTTATCAACCGCTGTGCCTCCTTCTCCTTTATTTCAAGCATCTCCTTCAAGTGATCGGCATTCACCTGCGCCTGAAGCTTCAGCTGTCGGCGAATATCTTCTTCAAAAGTCTTTCGCTCAGCCAACAACTAGAAAAATTCAATTATCCATTTATAAAATTTCTATCACTCAGGACAATGACAATTGAATAGATTTCTTCCAGTAAATCATGTACTTTACCTTCTTATCCAGCTCTTCCACGAGAATTCTCTTCTCCTTGTTAACTTCACGACAAATGAGTTCATTCAATTTATCCTCCGAGGCTAAATCCCCGCTGGATTTCATGGCCGCTCTTAATCTTGCGCCATCAATGCTCTAGAAAGAATCGGAAATTAATCCAGTGAATTAAATGTTCGATTAAAACGAGGAAAAAGGAAATATCAAAAACTCCACATTATTTTCAACATCATCTCGCTGTCCACGTACCTCTAGTTTATCCAACTCCTTCTGCAAATAATTAACCCTATTATACATGTAGAGGACAAAGATATCGAAGGCCTCCTCATTAACGCTGAAACTTTTCTCGTGAATATTGATGTTTGGGAATAATATCTGGAGCTCCTCGTTGAAATTCTCCCTGGCTGCTTTGACTTTGTTCCAGTATTTTTCAGTGATATTTGCCGATCCCTCCTCGTCGTCGTATTTCTTTTTCGCCTCGTCAACGTCCTCGATTATCTTCTTGACGTTTCTACGCGCAGCGGATTTCACGACCGGCGGTGCGTCGAACTGCGGATCGTCGATTAAATTTGAGAGACGCTTCAGATTTTGAATGGCTTCGGTTGCATTCAATTCTGCTTCCTGGATGGCATGTTTTCTCTTCTCCGTCGCTTCTTTCAATCTAAATAATTACCCCATACAGTTAAATTAATCTACTGTAATTATCAGCGAAAATCCTCAGCGCCAGGTCATAAAACAATTTATTTACCGAAATTCGACTAATCCATTCTTAAAAAATATATATTTCTCACCTCTGCCAAACAGGAGCTCCAATATTAGCAGGTGCACCACTCCCTGTCTCCACAACCTTCACAACATCCTGATTATAATTATGAATGGCTTTTGTAGCTTCTTGATAAGCTGCAATGGCTCGGCTAGCTGCCTCTCCACAAAAAGCTTCGAGTTCCACGAGATTATTCGGCTTTAGCTCTTCAGGAACTTCTCTCTTAGGCATCGAGGGCTTTTCCACAACTGCATAAACAATTAAATTATTTTAATACTCTTTTTGAGGCGAAGCGATGATTGAACATAGTTTTTAGTGCTTTTAGAGAGTTCATTACCCACCAACTTGAATTTTCTTTCCTTTGTCCTCACTCTGGCGGATCTCTGCATACGAATCGTTAACGACCGGCTCTTTTGTTTTAACCAATGGCTCGAATGAGGGCTTTGGAGCTGAATGTTAATTATTTCCTCTGATTATTAACCGAATAAAAATACCAGCGAAATAAAAAGATAGCTGTCTAAACTCAAAGCCTGTGAGATTTCTTTTAGGGCACATTCACACCGACTTGACATGACGGCTTTATCAAAATATTAATTGACATATCGATTAGGTAATGGGGAAAAGAATCATTTTCTAATGAAGTAATTAATGGGTACAAGTCGATTGGATACTATTGAATAGGATTAAAATTTTTATTATGGAAAGAAGGAAGAGGATAATGGATCTCACGTGTGTAGTTGTCACAGGTAGCACATGGTATTTCTTTCTGACCTGCTTTATCATCGCTCCTCTTCTCTACTTTTGGATTTCCATCACCAAATACTCCATCAATAACACTTTAAAAATGGAATACAGATGTAATATAATTTGACCATCACATAAACGAGAATATTTATTATAAATAAAATGAACTGTTAGAAAAAAAAGATATTTTATGGACAGTTGACCACCGATTTAAAAAAATGATTTGAAATTGAAGAGAAAAAATGGTATAATGCAATTATTATGATTGTTTATGTGAAAAATCAATGAATAAATAAGTTGAATATTAATTCACCTCTGTTTTAAATTCTCAAAGAATTCACACAGTTGATCAAAATAGGATGCCTCCTCTTGAAAAATGACCTTGATAGTTTTATCAGTCCCTGGTATCCATTCCTCCAGCTGCGCCCGGATGTCTGAATTACTTCTAGCGAGTGCTAGGAGTCCTACCGTCCCCAAGGTTATAGATCCCAGAAATAACAGCCCCTTGCCACCAGTTTTTCCACTGTTAAATCACAAAATTCTCTCCATGATGAAAAACCATTGAACACATCACAATAAAAGAATGAATACCTCCGAGGTGCCTCCGATGAATATCCAGCCCTCGTCTGTGCCACGATAACCCTGACATCCCTCTGTTGCCTGAAATGTCATCAAATCCAAGTCATTAAAAAATCAACCCCAACTAATCACTGAAATTCCCAGACACTCACTCTCTCCCTCGCCTCCTCCATGGCTGAACATCCCTCGACCTCGTGGCACCATAAAGTCTCGTGTATCCATATTTATTAATCTGTAAATAAACAAATTGATCAATCCAATTACAAAATCCCTCGTGATACTTATGTAAGAGGAACTTCAATAATTCTAAACTTCACTCATCCACGAAAACTCACGACTACTTTTAACATTAGGTTATCATTACTATTGTTTATCGTAAATTACATTAATTTTTATCAACATGAAGACATGATGTGACAATAAAAATTATTTTTCAAGTCATCACAGAGGAGAGAATGATCGTCAAGGTTTGTCTCTTCAATTATCATTTTCATTCTCCGGTGAAAATATTATTTAGGACTGATTGATAATTGTTATGTATTAATACTAATGTTGATTTTTTAATGTGATCAGGTTGTCGACTCACTTTAATTATCCGATCGTGTGGGTTTGACGAAAATTTAATGCCAATTCGGAACATGCTTTGGCCGTTTGGCGGCACAGGCAAAAGCGAAACAGCCCCAGAGGTTAATTAGCTGGATTATTTTAATATTAACAGATTGTTGGGAAAGGCGGAATGAAGTGGAATAGCGAACTGAACAGCTGATTTGGGGCTGGAGTCGCCGCCAATCGTTTTTTGACGTTTTGCCGCGCCCAGGGCACCACTGATGGTTCTATTCCGATATTTCTTATTTATTTTATTGTTAGTGATCTAATATTGAAAAAATATCATTGTCCTGTGAAAAATCCACAGCTGATGAGTAGCGAGAATTAAAAAATGCTGTCAAGATTTTTTTCAGCGACTCTCAGAGGTATTTGTCTTATGATTTTCAATATTTGAAACAATCATTACTTTTTTCACTAAGAAATTAAATTTTTTTGTGGCATGGGGCTTGGAGGTTATGAAGTGGACTTTAATTTTAGGTTTGTGATTATTTTCAGCTGCTGTTCGATCTCGATTTATCGGGGAAATTGGACAGTCACAGAAATGTGGATTTTTTGAAAGAAAAAATTTTCTTCAGGAGTTCAAACCAATTGTTGGGGGATGTCGAGGAATTTTTTCTGTTGTGTCGTCAAAGGGATTCAGTCAGAATGTTAAAACATCGCCAATTAGTCCTCACGGAAATTTGTTAACGTAAGGAATTACTGTTTTATAGAAAATGGGTAATTGTCATTTTGAGTTGAGCCCATGTGAATTTGACTGACCGTTTATTTATTATTTCTACTTACTACTTATATGTTTTTCAATGACAAAGTTGATGTTCATTTTGATAGAAAATCTGTGGAAACAACTGTTCTCAATGGATGTACTCCTGCTCGTACTGTCATTAAGTGGACAAAATCCAGTGGAAAACGACAGACTGTTAAAACGGTTTTAAAAAGATTCTACAGGTTGAATTGGTACGTGTGAAACAACAAGTCATGATCCAATAATTTTTTCATTTTTGGCAAAACAAATTATTCACATTTATATTTATTATTCACGTAGTACCAATACGAAACCGATTTATCCAATTTATTATTTTCTCATCCTTATATTTTATTCTTATTATTTTATTAGGATTAAAATTACAGAGATTATGAATATAAAATTTATATCAGTGTCTTTTTTACTTAGGGGAATCTGGATCAGAACCAAGGCTGGAAGACACAGACGCAGATGGAGAAAAAGTGGAGCTAATGCCAGACGTTCTCGTCAACACGTATTTTGCAACTCGACTCAGTCATGGATGCTGGACAAAATGGTGTCGCCTTACTGGAGAAAACCCAAGTACTGGGTTGACGATCCCTACACTCCTTATCACAAACGCGAAGAGTTCTGGGCGACTAGAAAAAATCCAATACCTTTAATTCGAAAGCCGTCGTAATTAAAAGATTTATGATGATACATTATAAATAATAAATATACCTACGAATTCTGAATCTCGTTAACTATTCTATTTTCATCGAGACCTCAGGAACGTCAATGAATGAAATATAAAATTCTCATTTAATTACCTTTATACAATTTAATTAAATATAAAATTCAAAATTTGAATTCTTGTCTAGGGTCCATAAATCCCTAGGAACTAATGCAATCTTATTGAAAACTCCCTAGCTTCCAGATATAGTCATCCGGTGCTGGAAATTAACGTTTGAATAATATGTCCAGTTTATTGGTGATGTGTGCATAAAAAGACATTCTAATTTTCAGTCTTGGCCCTCGTAAGTATTCTCTAAGTCTTAACTTTAATCGAATAAAATAGGAATACAATAATCAATATCTCATTGTCATAACCTATAAATCGTTAATTAATTTTTAATGAAGTTATAATCTTTTTTTCAAAGGATAATTACGGAGTATTAAGGATCATGGAAGTAATCGTTGACGAGGAAAAAGTTTCTAGTTCTCCAGTGGAGTTAGAATCCTCAGAAAAAAAAAGTAGAGATGATGCCATCGATATTTCATCGAATTGGAATGTACTAGGAGGAAAATCTCTCAAAAATACAGTGACTACAGTACATCGAAAGGATTTTTCGGGGAGGTAACACCGGTAATCATCAATTACCCTATAGTCTATTAATTTTTGTTTCCGAGTGGAGGAAATCGTCGGCCTGTAATATTTTTAAATTTTGCCTGGAAATTGCCAGTCATTTGACTCCTCTTTTTCTGTTCAAAATATTCGCCCCAAATTGATGTACATTTCAGAATGTAGGAGTAATTGAAATGTTTTTTTTTATTTAATAATTTATTAGCATGCCACTGGACGACATTGCAGACGAAAACACGAGTATTGAGATTCAATCAGATGTTGAACACGAGCCTTGCACAATTGTGATAAAAATAAAAAATGGTCAGAAAATAGTCAGGATGGGAATATCCTCAGAGGCTGAGGTATTGGAAATTTTTAAAGACAGTGGTGAATACGCTACGACAATTTTTTCGGAATTCATAGATGAGTTCGAAGGGTGCACTGTTTATTTGGGTGGAGTTGTATTTGATAGACCTACGAGGGAAACCAGCATAAAGGTGATTAAAAATAAATAAACAATTAACTGTTTATATTTACAAAAAACGAAGAACTCAATTTATCTTCTTTTGGAACTTCGATAATAACTCGATGTAAAAATTAAAATTGGGCAGGTGATTTTTCAATATTTATTTCTTTCAGTTCACGAGAGTAAAAAATGAAAGGTCTTCATTATATCTGTATGGGATTCGTCTGGTTCTGGAGGATTCAAAGCCGCCAGACAATTCCTCACTGGATCAATTAGACTACAATCACATAATTAGTGATTTTCTAACGCTATTACATCCTAGAAAAAATAAATCTGTGGAGAAAGTGTCGAATGGTATTCCAACGTCTATCCCGATGGCTCTGAAGGAGCCAGGGATGATTGAATACTTTCATAAATTTGTGGACAAAACAAAAACATTACCTGTCGAACATAATAGTTGTAACGACAACGAGGCCGAATCGGAAGATCGAGCTTCCATCAATAACAATGACTCACCGAATGAATCAACAGCCGTTTACCCACCAATTGCCAGTATAAATTCCACAAACAACGAATTTTCTACTCTAACATCAATAATAGACACTAAATTTAAGGATATGGAAGCCAGACTGATGCAGAGAATCGATCAAATGGAGAAAAACACTAACAAAACTCTAGAAGAAATTCTCAACAAATTGAAAGTCATTTAAATACCAAATATTTTAATTTGTAAACAAAACTTTATAATTATTGATTAATGAAAAATACGAGGTACGAATTCTACCTGACAAGTTGAAAAATAATTATATGATAACACGAGCTTTTGTTGTTTTCTTTTTTCTCCGGGAACAAGTTATCAGATATTTTATTTCGGGGGTGTTTCATCGGAATCCTCTTTGTTTTCGTCTTCAGGCTCGTCTTTTTTGGTCTCTGGTGGGTCCCAGGTATGGAGTTGTTTTCTCCAGAGTTTTACCATTCCATCCCAACCTCTTCTGCTGTATTTTACGTGCTTTGGCGGAGTTTTTGGTTGGTCTTTGCTTCTCTGGTCCCTTAAAGACAAAGTCATCAATAGAAAAAATAAAAATGTAAGGGACAGTTACGTAAAGACAATAATAATTGAACGACCAGATGAAAAATGGCGGATCAATGACAACTTACTTTGGCACCATTTGTATATATCTATCATATCCAATGGTATTTTTTCCGTAATCAATGTCCTTTTGTCTTCTGGACAGCACCACAGGATCAGTCTCATACTCGATCTTTCTCTTGTCATTGCTGGAAGTTGTACTATTGCTTGATTCACTATTTTTTCGATTTCTGGAAATCCTTTCAGGCTTGCTATCAGGACTCTCGTCCCTCTGTCTTTTTCTGCCATTATCCGATTCATTCATACATGTGTCCTCGTCGTCTTCCAGAGATGGCGAAGGATTTAGATGAATTATATCCTGAGATTCCTCCTCACCATTTGTATCTTCGGAATGCATCTGGGAATTTGTGATATCTTTCTCCTCCACTTCTGCCATTTTTACGTCACTTGCTTTTATTTTAGCTGTTGAAACTAATTAGAATTTAGGTACTGATGATTTATGGAATGTAAACAGTATGTAATTGTATAACCTTACATTTACCAGGATTGCGATGACAATTGCGATGTGGCAGCAATCGATTGACTCTTCAATAATCAGAAAATTTGATTATCTCCAAAATTCGTGGATATGGTTTGAAGTGAATTTTATTTAAAATATCAGGGAATCACTTTTTGTGGCCTCAGGCTTTGTTTTGTTACTTCGGTGATGCCGGAGGAGCGGTTTTCCGCGTTTTTCTAAAAAAAAAAAGTAAAAGTTTATTTGCTCTCCCGCCAGGAGGTGCCACGATGCTCTTTTTGCCTTTTGGTAAACGAAAAATTTTGAGGAAAATTTTCTCTCTTCTTAATGAATTTAATTAGCGCATACAAAAAAAATCATGTAAATATTGTTCAGAATAAAAAAATGAGTCAGAAATTTTATCAGCGGGAATAAAAACGAAAAATGTTTAATGATGATGAAAGAAGGTATTTCCCAGAATTGGGCAGTGATCATTTCAATTTTTAGAAAATGTACCTCAATTCCGAGGGCAAAACTCCTAGAAAATACAGATTCGCTCTTTCAATGGAATTGAAGAGCTTTAGGCGTGAACTCGTCTTGAAGGAATTCATTGCATGACGCCCGATAAAAAACAACCGATTTGTCCGCATGATCCACTACCATATTGATAATCTCCAGGAATCGTTTGTCCGACAGATTTTTCATGAACTTGAAGAAGGTCTGTGTGAACTTGTTAGCAAATTTTCTCGTTTTCATTTCATTATCACCTGAGAACATAAAACGATGAATACCTTGAAATTTTTTATTCTCTGGATTTCAGGATCAACTTCCTCGTGCTGTCCAAGAATATCTGTCAACATTCTGCAGGAACTTGACGTGATGAAGGGAACTGTCGTCATTATGTATGTAATGATTTTTATAAGTTTCAGGTGTCAGTGTCTCTTCAATTTCGGGTTCTTCAGATTGTCCCCCAGGATTCTCTGACTCTCCCTCAGATGTCCCAATATTACTCATGATTTTGAAGATGATTTAGCGACTGTTATCCGGAAATTAACGTCCAAGAATTAGAAATTGTTGCTTTGTGTGAAGTCGTCGTCAAGTTGTTGGTAACATGATATATATTTATTCCAGCCAGTCGGATGTTGAATCAAATATATTTTCAAACATCCATTGTTATCAGCTCGTAATGAACGCGAGGAATAGTTTCGTCGGTCAGTCAGTCGACGATGGAGTTGGCGATCGTTGTGATAGGTAAATCTGAAAAAATAGGAAAAACTACAAATTATAATATAATTAATGATAAAATAAATAATATTATTCTCCTGTTTCAGTTTTGTGGACATTCTTCCCAGTCGAGGGGTTCGCTCGAGGAATTCCTGTGGACCCTGACGACAATATTAGCAATGAGGTATCAACAATGAATATTCAAATATCTGAGTATCCAGGAGGCCACATGCTTTTCATCACCCCCGGAGAAGTCCTTCCCAATTCTTCTCACCGTTTACCTGTTAAAAACGTTTCAACAAGTGAAAACATCAACAATTGTCTTCACAGGGCCTTCAACAAGACTATCACAAACTTACAGAAACAGCTCACCGAAATTTCGTTGAAAGTAAGTGTTTTGGAATCAAAATTAGAGAGAAAATTAATGAAAGATGAGAAGAATTCTCCAAATATCCTCTTCATTCCACCAAAGACTCCTGAAAGTCAGACGACGGACAGATCAGCACTCGATCATCTGCCAAAAGAGTGGGATAATTTTGAGTGGATGACACCCCTGAAAGTGTCCACGACCCTAGCCCCAGAACCACCGCTCGTAAATCTAATCTCTACAATAATCCCCGTGTCGTCAACGCCGTCGCCTACTCAACAGCAGATTGATCTCCTGAACCGAGCGAAGAGGAAAAGCGAAAAAATTACTGAAGGAGTTGATAAAAAACCTAAAGTATTGTCGCTATGTGCTCGGATTATTCCAGTTGATGAAAAAAGACATTCTTCGATATCGAGTAATCGTCGGTCGAAGAGAACTCGTCGTGAAGTATTGAATAATTATGAGAGGAACTTGCTGGAACCAATGAGATATACGTACCTAAAGGAACTTGGGATAATCCACAGTGATGCAATTAAATCGTGGTTGGATGACCTCAACCGTCAATATGGGACCGAGAATTTATCAGAGATTGATAACGTATCAAGTGATTATTTGCCAAATGGAAAAATTCAAAACGAGAGGTGATTCATTCACAAATCCAGTGATAGTGCTTAATGAGAATTCAAATCAACGTTGCATTATATCATTTTATTTGTCATTATTTTTCTCCAAGAATGATCGCAATTTTATCTCCTCCATTTGCCTTCCTCTTCCTCTGAAGTATCGTTATATTATCTATCCTATGACAGAGGAGATAAACAACCGAATGATATAATCGAAGTGACAACTTTTTATATCTACCTTTCTCCACTGAAATCCTTTTTCAGCCTTCTAGTTTACACCTTAGGATTATTATTAATACATAATGCCATGAAAAATAATATTCAATAATCCCACGATCACTTCGATAAATATACTGGCACATTGATACCTGTATTTGCTATAAAACTAACGATTTTGTGTATGCACCCTGAATACTCATGAGTCAATTGTCAATGAACATGTTCATCGCATTGAATTCAAAACCGTGAACGACGATATCATCATTTTTAATGCCTAAAAAATTAAGTCATATTTCACAATATTGCCGGCTCTTAATTTCGAATGGAAATTGTCGTCTCACGTTCCCAAAGCTTTCCATGGACATTATGTAGAATTTTCCTGCTGTCAATCGACAAGGTCTCAAACTTCTTATCATGATGGGGATAATCATCAGCTGCAATTGACAAGGCATGTCGTACCATTCACCTTGATAACTAAAAATTAAACCAAAAGAATATTTTATTACGTCAATTGTCTAAAAATAAATGTAATTAAATGAAAGAGCTATTGAAATGATAAACTCATGTCGGTTCTAACGCTGAGATAAAGACTTTTTCACTCTGCACTTCGAGGGCATGCCCCAACCAGCTGATCCAGAAGAGATGGCAAAGAGCGCCTCCGCTGACGAATGCCATTCTGAGCATCTCACCTGGCTCAGTTTTTTTAATTATAGCCTTGAATAATAATCACAGATGTTAATTACACAGATGTTAGAACAGCGTGAATGATTATGTTTGATGATTATGAATACTCACTGTCATCCCAGTGAGCACTACTGTTAAGATATTTACTCCAACAATAATAAGAAGTGCAATATTATACGAGGACTCCAGATCTTTCACGAACCTGTCATTGAATAGTAATTCATGCAATATTTTTAATGATTAGTTACTTACACTTACTTGAGAATTTGTGTTTGCAAGTCAGAACAGTGTTTCAAGTTCTTCATTATCATTTGAAAATTATTTAATGGATGTCCCCGATTTCCATCTGCCTTTACATGCAGTTTTTCTACGTGTAATCTGAAGAACAGTAAATATAGAGTTGTGTGCACGTTCTCATGGATTTTGGTGGATCTTACTTCAGAATTTCAAACACTCCACAAGCGTGATTAACGAAAGTTGCAAATAAATTATCAAAAAACACTATGTAGGATATAGAAACAGTCATCGTCACATAAGAATGAAACAGTAGATACACATAATATTTGTCTTGATCGATGAAGAATTCCGTTTGGTAGAGGAACAATCGTGGACGTGTCTCATTCAGAGGTTGAAAAAAATCCAATATTTTTGGGATAGAAGGTGAAGAAAAATAAACAAGTAGAACCCCAAAGAGGGATGCTATGAATAATAAGAATCAGAAATCATAGCAAACGAAGAATTTTCGAAAATCGTCGGAAATTAATTAGAATCAAATGGAGAAGTGCTGATAGTTTATAATAATTATCATATTATATCAATATCGTCACTCCTCTATAAAATTCATGGAATGAGAATACTGTGATGAAATTTTAGTACTTGCATAAAAAATATTTAAACGCCGTGCACGCTCTGACCACTCCTGCAGTGCTTTGCAGTCACGTTCCAAGTTGAAAGTCTCCCAATCCCTTTTGATAGTTAAGAATAATTCTTTCATCTGAAAGAATGACAATAATCAATCATAATTCCCATTATTATTTATCATTTTCGTTCTAATTTATAACAACAAAACGAGGAATATTACACGGTCCTCCATTATTATCCAGTTGAAGAATTTAGCTTGGCCTATAGTATGACATCCGAGCGCAGGTAAACATTCGATGACCATTTCCCAATCAGGCAGCGACTCAATTAGCTTGATTATCTATAGTCCATGTAATTTATTGTTGAATATTTATTTTCGTGTAATATTATGGAAGTCGCAAAGTACGATAATGGCGGCAGATGTGTTTGTTATTAATAAAATTCCATGTTAATTGCAAATTAGTATGAAAAAATATATATTTATAAACTTACTTGGGGCATAACTATGGTGGTAACTATAATATACGTTAAACACCTGAAAAATCTCCGCTTCTTCGCCGATTGAAATGGCCAATGTCCGATACATTCAAGACCTCGTTTCGTAACCTGATAGTACGAGCGATCAAAGACGTGCTGCATGTCGACGAGAGTCTTCGATACCCAGAGGAAAATTAAGTGTCTACCCTTAACGAAGTCGATTCGTCAAATGCAGCAATTTTATATTCACTTTAAAGCAACTTTGAATGCAACTACAAAGTATCTTCACTGCAGCAATTACCAATTGCATATTTGATGAGCGCTGAGCGTTTCGCAGAAATCGATATTTCAGACTAAAGATGAAAGACAAGGGTTGCAGTGCGATATTAGGAGGCAATTATTTTTTTTTAAACAAAAATGAAGGGGTTGAAGAGTAGGGACTGTGCGATACGAACCATTGGGTGACAAGACTTGGAATATACCGTTGCATTTGACTTCCGGCCACGTTCTTTTGAAATATCATTTCTCGGTGGAGACATCCGGTGTATCGAGGTGTGGGTTCTGCTTTTGTGAAATCAACATTTGTGCATTTGATCTACCTTCTAAGCGCCAACACCAATTTTTACGAAGAAATTCAATGAGCGACTTCACCAATGTATTTCGGGGCTCTTACAATTTATAGGATTAATACATTTGCATGATCTCCAATACTCAAAATGGTTGTTTATTGGTGAGTACCTTTATATTATTTATAAATGCTTGAAGAGTGTCATGCGCATATTATCTGCGATAAATATCGCTGCGCCAAAATTCGAAAACTATAATTTCATTGACATAATGGTATTCAAAGATCCCATGATCACTTCGATGAATGTATTGCAAGATTGATACCTCTATTTACTATAGAAGTAACGATTGTTCCAATGCACCCTAAATATCCATGAGTCAATTGTCAATAAACATTCATCGCATTGAATTAAAAACCGTGAAGATAGACATCATTAATCTCAAAGCCTAAAAAATTACGTCATTATATTTCCCAATATTGCCAACTCTTAATTTAAAATGAAAATTGTCTCCTCACGTTCCCAAAGCTTTCCATGGACATTATGTAGACTCTTCCTGCTGTTAATTGACAAGGTCTTAAACTTCTCATCATGATGGGAATAATCATCAGCTGCAATCGCCAAGGCATGTCGTACCATCGACTTTGATAACTGAAAATTAAACCAGAAGAATATTTGATGATGTGAGTTGTCTAAAAGTCAATGTAATTAAATGAAGGAACTATTGACATGATAAACTTATGAGGATTCTAACGCTGATAAGAAGACTTTTTCACTCTGTATTTGGAGGGCATGCCCCATCCAGCTGATCCAAAAGAGATGACAAAGGGCGCCTGCACTGACGAATGCCATCCTGGACATCTCATTTGGGTGAGATTTTTTAATTATCGCCTTAAATAATCATCACAAATTTTCATCTTAGAACAGCGTGGATTATGCTTGATGATTATGGATACTTACTGTCATCCCAGTGAGCACTACTGTCAAGATATTTACTCCAACAATAATCAGAAGTGCAATATTATACGAGGACTCCAGATTGTCCACAAAGCTGTCATTGAATAGTCATTCATGGAATATTTTTAATGATTAGTTACTCAACGCCACTTACTTGAGAATTTGTGTTTGCAGATCAGAACAGTGTTTCAAGTTTTTTATTAATTGTAAATTATTCGATGGATCATTCCGATCTTGACCTGCCTTTATATGCAATCTTTCTAAATGTAATCTGAAGAACAGTAAATATAGAGTTGTGTGCACTTTCTCTTGGCTTTTGGCTGATCTTACTTCAGAATTTCAAACATTCCACAAGCATGATTAACGAAAGTTGTGAATAAATTATCGCAAATTACTATGTAGGCTAAAGCAAGAGCCACCGTCACATAAGAATGAATCAGTAGATACACGTAATATTTGTCCTGATCGATGAAGAATTCCGTTTGATAGAGGAATATTCGTGGACGTGTCTCATTCAGTGGATGTAAAAGATCCAATATTTTTGGGACTGAAGGTGAAGAAAAATAAACAAGTAGAACCCCAAAGAGGGATGCTGTGAATGATAATGACCAGAAATCATAAAAAACTATGAATTTTCAAAAACTGTCGAACATTAATTGGAATTAAGCGGAGAAGTGCCATTAGTTTATAATCATTATTTTAGTCGCCACCGACTGATCCGATAGGCGAATGGAAAATGTAATTACTCCTCTACAAAATTCATAGAACGTGAAAAAATTTATAAAATTTCAGTACTTGCATAAAAAATATTTAAACGTCGTGCTTGGTCTGACCACTCATGTAGTATTTTGAAGTCACATTCCAATTTCAAACTCTCCCAATCCCTTTTGATAGTTAAGAATAATTTTTTCATCTGATAGAATAATCAAATAATTATCTTCATTGTAGTTAAATGATAGCAACGAAACGGGGGAAATTACATGGTCTTCCATTATTATCCAGTTGAAAAATTTAGCTTGAGCCATCGTATGACATCCAAGCATAGGTAAACACTCGATTACAATATCCCAATCATGCAACGACTCAATTAGCTTGATTATCTGTAATCCAAAAAACAAACAATCATAGCACACTATATTTCTATCTGATTCCTGAAATTCACTACACGGAGATTCAAAAAATTTCAATGTCATTTATTATCGCATAATCTTTGTGTCCCAATGATTGACAAAAGTGTCAAATGAATTTGTTATTAAAAACAGATTCCGCGATAATGATGAATTAGTATAAAAAAGCGGATATTATCTCAAATTCTGTAGAAAAAATTGCATGACTTAATTATAAGATATTTATAAACTTACTTTGGGTACGACTATGGTAGTAACTAAAATATAAGTTAAACACCTCAAAAATCTCCGCTTCTTCACCGACTGAAACGGCCAATGTCCGATACATTGTAGACCTCGTTTGGTAAGTTGATAGTACGAGCGATTGAAGATGTTCTCCATGCCAAAGAGAGTCTCCGACGCCAAGAGGGAAATAAAACGTCTAACGATAACGAAGTCGATTCGTCAAATGCAGCAATTTTATATTCACTTTGAATGTAACTTACAAGGTATCTTCACTGCAGCAATTATCAGTTGTATATTTGATGAGCGCTGAGCGTTTCGCAGGAATCGATATTCCAGACTAAAGATGAAAGACAAGAGTTGCAGTGCGATATTAGGAGGCAATTATTTTTCTTTGACCAAAAATCAAGGGGTTGAAAGTAGGGACTGTGCGATACGAACCGTCGGGTGACAAGACTTGGAATATACCGTTGCATTTCACCTCCGGCCACGTTCTTTTGAAATATATTTTCTTGGTGGAGACCTCAGCTGTGTCGAGATATGGGTTCTGCTGTTGTGAAATCGACATTTGTGCATTTGATCTACCTTCTAAGTGCCAACACCAATTTTTACGGAGGAATGCAATGCGCGACTTGGAAAGATATTTTTGCATGATCTCCAAAATTTAACATGGTTGTTTATTGGTGAGTAAATTAATTTATATCAATTGATCACTCTTAGCCACGAAACATTTGTGAATTCTTGAAAAGTATCATGTGCATATTATCCCCGATGAAAATCCTTGGATAAAGAAAATCCGCAATCGCTTCTATTTAATTCTATATTATCTGAAATACATATCGTTGAGCGAAAATAATTTCGAATAGTATAATTTCATTACGACTCGTTCATTGAATCACAAAAATGCCATTGACAAAATGGTATTCAACGATCTCAAGATCACTTTGATAAATATATTGCAAGACTTGGAATATATCGTTGCGTTTTACCTGCGGCCACGTTCTTTTGCAATATAATTTCTTGCTGGAGACCTCAGCTGTATCGAAATATGGGTTCTGCTTTTGTGAAATCGCCATTTGTGCATTTAATCTATCTTCTAAGCGCCGACATTAATTCTCACGCAGAAATGCAATAAACGACTTGTCAAATATATTTTTGGGTTCGTGCAATTTCTAGTATTGATAAATTTGGGATTTTCCCATCGCTTGGACGATCTCTTACACTCGAAATGCTTGTTTATTAGTGAGTCACTTTATGTCAATTAATCACTCTTAGCTACTATACATTTGTCAATTCTTGAAGAGTCTTATGCGGTGATGATTATCTCCGATAAAAATCTTTGACTCGGGAAATTCCGAAATCAGTTTTATTAATTCTATATTATCTTCGATAAATATCATTCCGCCCGAATAATTTCGAATAGTATAATTTCATTACGACTTGTTAACTGGATCTTGATGGCATCGCGAATAACGATAGAATCCATTGATTTGATCTTGTAGATTAAATTTAGGAATGACCCATTTTCTTATCACTGGAAACTGATATAATGGTGGTATATATTGATCGTTGAGTACAATCATTCGTCAGATACTTTCAAAATGTTATTCCAGTATTTGATTGTTGCATTTTTAGTTGCCAAAGGTAAGTTCTCAAAACTACACAATATTTACTATAATTTAATTCATAAATTAAGGAGAGTGAAATGGCGATTAGAAATCGCAAATAAATTTCTCGCACAAATTGATTTTACAGTGACATAAAGAATTTTCAAGGACTTCTAGTTGTAAAATGAAATAAAATTATCAGTGAATGTTTCAAATTGTCACTCACAACCAGAAACTAGACCCAATAATTATTTGACCATTCAAATTATTCCTAGGTTTCGCCACCAAATCACGTATCACGAATGGCGTTACGGCACTCCCCCACAAATACCCTTACCAGGTATCTGTCCAATGGGGATTCCCTCCTCTCATTAGATATCGCCATATGTGTGGTGGCTCCATCATCGACCCCAGCTGGATTTTGACCGCCGGTCACTGCATCACCGAAATCCCCAAGATCGGAAGCCTCCAGGTGGTGGCTGGTAAACACGACCTCACAAATATTGAACCCGGACAGCAGGAGCGACTGGTCGACCGGAGGGTGGTCTACGAGAGCTATCCAGGGTAAAGAAAAATCATATTAAATCTTGTCGACCTTAAGTATGAGTATATGATAATCTGGTGGCGACGTCCATGTGCAATTACTCACAATATTCGAATGCAATCAACGGAATCGGTGCCGAGGAAATTAGAAACCTAATTCACTCATGCTGGTGGTTAACCGATGGATTTTATTTTTTTACGTTTCAGTAATTTGAACTTTAATTTGCGATTGTTGTAGAGGTGCGAGTCAGCACGACATTGGCCTTTTGAAATTGAAATCTCCTTTTAATTATACCGATCACATCCAACCGATCGGCCTTCCGAAGTCTGGGAAGCAGCACACCGGCGATGTGATTATCTCCGGATGGGGTTCCATCTCCACTAATATGACCCCTGAGTATCCATCGAAACTTCAGGCAGTTGAAGTCTCCGTTCTCGATTTGGACACCTGCTTGGCAACCTTTCAATTAGTTTTCCCTGAGACACAAATTTTTGACACCCAAATCTGCACTGGACCAGTAGGTGGTGACAGAAGTCCCTGCTCTGGAGACTCCGGTGGTGCACTCATGCAGTTCGATGTGGATGGCAAGGCGGAACAAGTTGGCATCGTCTCCTGGGGTGCAGCCCCGTGTGGTAATGGTGCCCCATCTGTCTTCACTCGTGTCTCATCTTATGTCGATTGGATTGCAGCCACACTCGATGGATCACGTTAAATTATTTCAATAATTTATCGCCTTGAGGAATAAATTAATGAATAATTATTGAGAGTACGATGTGACATCCTGCCTGATTACTACTATTGACAACATTTTTCAGAAAGAATTGAAATTTAAAACCTGATATATCTGGTCCAGGCAGATATTTTTCTCAATAAAAAATTACAAAAGTAACTATTAAATTAATTACTATTAATATGTTCATCATAATAAAATTTTCCCCTTCACCTCTCACTGGATGCTACATCTCAAACTCACGAAATCCTGATGAAAATGATTTTTCATCACGAAGTGCCGAAAAGTAACTTTCCCGCACATTGCGAAAAAACAGCATATTCCGTAACAAGTGTAGAAAGTCGTTTATGGCATGAGGGTATTATACCTTCACCTTCGGCTCGTGCGGTAAACCTCCCGCCAAAGATCACTTTTCCGCACTTGTCACGAAATATACTATTCCGCACTTGTTACGAAATATCCTATATTAAAATTGAAAGGGCGACAAACAGGGTGACGAAGGGGTGGTGCATGGTGCTGCCATTTCTCAATTCAATTGGAGCGCCATGTCGTACTCCATAAAGGCTGCGCAGTGGCTCTCGAATTCGCGAGACACGCATTCCAACTGGACGCTGTGACTAAAACTCGTATTTTATTTTATCTTACTCATAAAAACCATTATACTATTACCAGTATTTTATCATTATTTCGATCAGTGATCCACTCAGGATTACGCCTGCGAAGTTATCTGTTTAAACAGCCATACACTTGAGGGATATCTTCAATGTAAGTACCACCAATATCATACAGGTTAAGGATTGTCATCCAGAAGCCGCCTGCTCTCGCCTATTTATTTATAATAAATAAAATAAATAAATAATAAGGATCCGTCACTTGTGAATGATCGGTCATTGTCTTACGGTTGGGTTATTTATTCTCCTCGTCAGGATCCTTCATTATATCTCCAAAAAATTAATAGACAATCTCTGATGACGCATTCAGTTCTGTTTACCGGGATCTACTGCGTGTCATTCATTCATTGTCGAGTACAATAGACTGTCGATTGTTTTTATTGCATGATTATTTTTTAGTCCTAGAGGTTTTATTTTTGGAGCCGCTTCTGAAGTTCGACTGATATTTTGCCAAATGTTCAAAATTGATCGAATATTTTGGAAAATATTGATTGCTCATAGCGACTTCGATATTCTGCAGGTCCCAATTTTGATATTTTGTAGACTAAATATTTTTACATTATGGACAAGTCCCAGATTGTCTTCGAATTTTGAAATTTGAGTTTTACTCCATTTTGTGGGTCCTTTCATCTTTAGATCTGAATTTCATGTAACGGGTGTTCCAAAAATTGTTTTCAAAAGTTTCAAGTCCCTGTCGATAGTTCAAGTCCTATTGATAAATGATTTATTAGATTATTGATAAATTAATTTCAACTCCACGATTATGCCGCGAAAAGAACAGATCCTCTAAACAAATCGGTGAGTGTTGAGGCACAGATAAAATGGACACCCTATTTTTCGAATTAAGAGTATAAAATGAATTCAGGGAATCCATGAAAATTTTTAGGAGCATAATTAAGTGGATGTGTACAAATCGAGGCTGGACATATCGACACATCAATTGCAATGGGCACATTTGATTGATACCCTTCCTACATTTTTCCTTTCCTTCATTGCAAAAAAAAGAACAAAGTAATCATCATTTCCAGATGAACGCGGACAGCACTCGCAATTGCAGATCATCATCTGCGAATATTAACAGATCCTCAAAACGTCAGCGACTCGACATGTCGACCTCGAGTGTCAATTTTACAATGCATGACACAAGAAGCCAAAATCAAATGGAATTAAGATACAAGAACGAAATAAAAGTTCTTCGCAATAGATTATCTCACACTGAAGCGGCTGCTATGCAACAACGCACCATTCGAAAACAAATTGAAGAGCTGTGTGAGAAGGAGAAGAATATTCTGGGGATGCAGATTCAGTTGGAAAAGGAAACGGTGGAGCATCTACGTGGGGATTTGGAGAGTGCGGTGCTGAGGGTTCAGGAAGCTCGTGATGCCCAAGCAGCAGCTGAAGCTGAACTTTTTCGAGTTCAAACTGCGTTGGAGGAACAAATTGCCGAATTGCTGATTGAAAATACTAGATTGAAAGAGGAAAGGATTCAATCAAATTCTACTCATACTTCGATCCTATCAAAGAGCAACGGCACTTACGAGGTAGACGATGCTGAAGAGAGCAATCTAATGAAGATTAATGGAATACTACACGACGATTCAGAATCTCGGGAAGGATCAAATTCTGGTACACCTCGGGGGAGAGTCCTCAAGGTTGTAGTCCAACGATTATCATCGAAGGCGAGAGTTTACGAGACTGAAGGCAAGACTCATAATTCCAAAACAGAAACTTCTGCTGCACAAGAAAGTCCCAATGATGACGGAAAATCGCCGAAACCAGTGAACATGCTGAAGAGCAAGACTCAGAAAGCAATCACCACCTCTCGAAAGAGCAGCTTCAGAAAAGTGTCGGAACCCTCGGAGGTGACGTCTTCCATCAACAAGAATAAGACTCCTTCCAATCAGGAATCAAGGAAACCCAAGTCAAGACGTCACTCCGTGCCGAAAAAGAATAATTCATCAAAGATAAAGTCTCAAGGTGTTGGAGGAGTCCGACGACGAAGGACTTTGTCAAGAGCATCAGAAGAATATGATCCTCTGGATACAACTCTTGAAGATGATTTGAAAGATTTGCCCACAGATGAATACGAATCAGCCCAAGATACAGTTCATGTCAATTCCTCTGGGGTTCATTTATCGAATGGAGCAGATGTGGTACATCCCAATAATGATGACCCTGAACCAAATGCTGATGCTGAAAAATCAAGAGATAACTCGCATTATAAATCGAATGGCACACCAGATCGCGAACTCTCATCAGATGGAATTCGAATACACGGAAGGAAGAATTACTTCGTTAAAACATCGAGTCACCGGTACCATGAGATCGATTGGGATCAGGAGTTCAGTCATCGACCTCTCCACGGATTTTTCTGCAAGAAATGTATGTTCAGGTGCTCAAAGCGAGAGCGAATGAGGGATCATGTGTGGAATACACACTATGAAGGATCATTTCTGTGTTGCCACTGTAATCCACATTTTCCTCTTCTGTGGCGAGACAGTGCTGTCCGTCACATGGAGAAGAAACATCCTGAGCTCAATACCTTCAAAAACGAATGAATCGGCACATTGATTTGGGTATGAAGGGGTTGGTCATCATCTGTTAGCTTTGACACACATTTTTTTTTGGTTGTCGCGCATTTATTTTAGCTTGAACTCTCTTCGCTGCGCCTTTGTCACGATCGTTTCAATGTTTTAAGAGTAATATGGAATGGCTTTATCCTTTTTTTTAATCAGCGAGAGTAATTTCACGTGATTAAACAATTGATGACCAAAATAACTGATGATTGATGATTATAACATTGATGTAACATTAATTATGAAGTAATTATGTTACCTCGAGGTGTTAAGATCTCAGTATATGCGCGAAGATTGAGTGTATATTACACCTTTTCGAGTATTTTATGAATTTTATGTAGTTCTACCATTTACTTTGTTTTTACTCAAATCCCCAAGAGCTTTATCAACTTTTTTACGCATTCATGTAGTGAATAGCTCACCATATGTTTAAAAAATCTTTTATTTCTTCATTAATGAGCTTTTTAAGTTGTACTTGAATATCTGTCACAGACAGCATGAGAATGAACGCTATGATTCCTAAAAGGTGCCTTGCGAGATGTATTTTGAATTCATAAAGTAATAAATTTATACGAAGAAACATGATTCGCCAAGTTTCATTAAAAATAATGAGCATAAGTTTGATATTGATATCAGAACAATTGATTGTTCCATTTCATTACAGGGTAATTGAACAGGTCGTCGTAAGGTAAATTGAGAGGATTGAACAAAAACACGTGATGGTGTTCGTCTTCATTGGGTAGAGGATGTACCCAATGAAAAAAAGACACAAACTCGATATGCATGGAGAAATATTGATAATTATGTAAATAATTATTCAATCCGATTGCTATTTGCACGAGTGGAAGATTTTTCTGGTTTCATATTGATATAAAACCGAAAATTTCAATGTTCACATAAAATAAGAAAATTGATTAATCGATCAATACCAATCACCAGTGGATCTACGAATCTGCAAAACAAAAAAAAACAAAAAGAGGATTTTCATATAATTATGAATTGATGAATCCAATTTATCTAATGCCAAACGTACGAGGAATAAAATTGATGTTCATTTTTTCGATGTAACAATATTGAATAAGAATCAAATGTCAGGTGTCTTGTATGGAAAGCCAATGTACAATAATAATTATAATGAGACACAAATATATTCGCATTTCAATAAAGAAAGAGGCAATGAACTAATGAATGTTTTTATGATTATAAACAATTCGGCTGAAATAGATTGAAACACGGAGAGAAATTTTTTTGGGGCAACATTCCAAGGTGTTTACTCGTCTCGCCTTAACCAAGCGAAAATAAACAAGGAATTTTATTTCGATCCATGAAATATGAGTCCTGAATAGGAGTACGTTGATATTCGAATAAATTCCCACATTCTTTCAAACTTGGTATTTGACAAGAGCTTGTCTGTGTTTCAAAGAAAGAATCTCAGAGTAAGTATTCAAGATTTTGAAGAAGATATTCGTTTTTGTGGGAAAGATAGAGGTTAGGAGTTCTTGAAATAAGGATGAGTGGAAAAACAATTTTTATCAACGACTCGAAATCATCGGAAGGAAAATGATTGTTAATTATTGTTAATGATTGTTAAATGTACCGGATCGTCTATTCTTCCTACATTTAATTAAATAATTTTTAATTTACCACACGCCATGGCCTTCCAAATTATTCCTTATTTTATATATTCTTCGAGTATTTTGGCACATGATATTTATAATATCCAATTAACACATGTTACATGTGTTAATTAGCAAATTGATCCTGAATTTTACAGATGAATAAAAGTGTAGGACTTGGAAACTTCCGGAGACATGTCACCTTGAAATCATCGACGATAAATTATTCACCCAAAGATTCAGTAAAAGCTGAAACAATTCGCAGTAACTCACATAAAATCGGAGATATTGGCATTGCACGACGCAAATTGAATGAAAAAATATTAGCAGAAGAAGAGCATGAAGTAGAGAAACAATTGGATTTAAATAAAAAAACAATAGCACAATTGGAGGTAGATCTCAAGAGATCAATGGCAAAGACACGAGAGGAACATGATGCTAGATCAGCAGCTGAAGTACAACTCGCCGAATTGAAAAGGATTATTCAGCAACAATTTATTGAGATAACACCATCAATGATCACCTCAGGCTCCTTCAGTTCATCAGCAGAATCGCAAATCCAAGAGAATCTGCAAATGACAGATACATTATTTTACGAAGAAAGGAGAAGTTGGGAAGCAAGAGTAGAACGTGTGGATAAGCTTGAGGAACAACTACTGATAGCTGGTGATAAAGTCCTGAGACTTCTTGAGAACGTCGAGAAACTTGAAGAAAATGTGAAGACTCTGCAGAAGGAAAACGAGAAATTATCAGGTGAACGTCATGAGGTGAATCGTCAAGTATCAGAAGGAAGTGATGAAAATTGTTCAAGGTCGTCACCAGATCGTGAGGACATCCTTCCCGATCGGGATTCCCAGAGAATAGAAGAGCGAGGGCAGGCAGATGACTCACAAGGGCATTCTGGACAGAAATGGACTATCTTTGCCACAAGCTCGAAATTCTTTAAACTGAATTGGAATGAGGAGTTCACTCGTCATGGGAAAAGCTTGTGGATCTGCAGTAAATGCTCTCGTCGCTTTCGATCGGAACGATTGATTGAGGATCATGTCTGGAGTGTACATTATGGAGAAACATTTCGTTGTCCTCATTGCGTTCTTCGTCCAAGATGCTATAAAGGAAGGTCGAGGCTCCTGAAACATATTGGAGTTGAACATTGCATATTTTAGAGAGCTCAAGGAGTCTTTCGATTAGTATCAGCTCGTTTAAAATGCTTTTTTTGAAAATTTCTATTCATTTAAGGAAACCCTAGATCTGATTGACGTGGAAAAATATCTTGTTTTTGGGTTTTATAATTATTTAATTATAGAATTATTATTCAATGACTTTCATAATCTTGTGTCTATTTTTTGGTTGTTTTTTTCATAAGCTTTAATTTAGTTTAGGAAAATTCTTTTACGATCGATTTCATTAGACGTTTCGGAGAAATTTCTAAAGAACAATGACTCCTGAGAATCATAATATTTTTTGTTCACTTTTCTTGTATAGAAAACATTAATGATTATATTTTGTTACTCATGTATTCACTTCATTTTTTCTTCTCTTGCACAATATTGCAATATTAGACTACTTCACGATTTCTGCGATGAATTTCGTTAGGTTTTTCACAATGTGCGGATTTTTAAAATGAATAAATTACTGAGAAGAGTAAAAGGTCCAGTAAATTAAATGTAGTGAATAGATCATTTGGATTGTCAAAATTATTATGGAATTGTTGGAAATAGCTGTAAGTGATTTTCAAATTTTTGGGGTATATCCTGTCGTACGCATGCGTGGGCTTATGACACGAGGAGGGGGTACATGTTGGCGAATTCTTCAAATTTTCTTTTAATTATCGTTATCCAAGTCCTATCAAAAAAGAATAAAATATTTCTTTGACTAATTGACTAATCAAAACCCATCGAAAATCATCGCACATATAATTTCTCACCTGTCGATTCCTCCGAGGCAGAATTTAAACGTTAGTACGAAATTTCATTCAAAAAAATTCATTGAATCACCCGTACAGGTTAGCCCTTGTCTCTCAATTAAAAATATGTAAAATTACATTTTCAGATGAATAAAAAAGCTATTGACCATCCACCGACCTTGACCTCTAGATCGTCTCCTGGAGTTCACGAACCATCACCGAAACGTCGAAAACTGGATGGGTCAAACAACTCTGAGATGGAATCCTGGGAGACAGAGTTATTGAGTCTTCGAATGCGATTATCAAAATCCGAAGCAACAGTCACTCAACTTCACAGAATTCGAAGTGAAATCGAGGAGATGTTTGAGAAAGAGAAAGAATTGCAGCAGTGGCAGGTGAAAGTTGACGCAGAGATGATAGACCAACTGCATAAAGCGCTGGATGAAGCAACGACAAATGCTGATAACGCACTGGAAGCAAAAAAATCAGCAGAATCTCAAGTGATTCAAATGAAAGCCAGAATGGAGGAAGAGATTTCGATATTATCAATCGAGAATGCCAGATTGAAAAATGAAATTTCTTCAGAGTCTGATAACAAGTTAGCAGAGAAGCTGAAAATGGCAGAGCTGAGAATCATTGAGCTGGAAGAAAAGCTCGAAGACAAAATGATATCTCAGATGGAGTTTAATCTTCTCAATGTTGAACTGGAACAAACCACCAAACAACAATTGAAACTGGAAGAGACTTCAGCTCTGGAGAAGAAAAACCTGGCTACACGTGTGCAGGAGCTGGAGAAACAGTCCAAATCATTCAAGAACATAATTGCCAATCTTTCTGAAGTGTTCAAAGAGATAGGGGTTTTCAAACAGGATAAATTGGAGACTGCGGAGGCTGTTAAAGACCAGGAGATCGTACTGGAAGAAACGGGGGATTCATCAGCCTTGAAAATTGCAGAACTCAGGTCAAAAATCAGGGAAAATCTAGCTTTGGCTTGTGTAAATGAGATCTGCCATGAGTCCTCACAGATCAATGATCGTGAAGAATTTCTGAGCAAAGTTAGTAATCACTCATCACCAGGTGACGAACCTGAAGACGTCAATGAAGGCCTTACAGTAGAGGAATCACCAGTGAAGAGTCTTCAAATGATGGCAGGGGATTATCACATTCTAGTCTCTGATCAAAAATTCTTTGGAATCGATTGGGAGAATGAATATATTTATGAGGAAGATAAATATAATTGCAGTAGTTGTGAGAAGAGTGAAGCTGATAGAATGAGAATTGAGGATCACGTGTGGAATGTACATTTTCGCGGGTATTTTGAATGCCCCACGTGTTTGGATGAGGATTCCCCGTGCTCTCTCGCATACAGGGATGATATTATACGACATATTGAAACATTCCATCCATATTTGATTTAGAGTAGTTGGATTCATGAAAAGTCAAAAGGAAGAGATTCTTCAACTGCTGAAGCTGATGTATTCATAAATAGTCAATAACGAGTTCAATGGGTCAACCTGTAAAGCATAAGAATGTTTTACTTATCAAAGATTAATTTTTCGATGCAAGTTATATTATAAGATTTTGAACTATTGTGAGTTATTTGTTTTTTATAATTTTATCAGTTTGTAATAAAGATTATTGTAGTAGTATCAAATTCTTCAAAATTTTTCAAACGGCCTTGGAATTTTTGTACAAGTCATATGATATTATAGGGAAATGATTAATTATTTATATTATATTATGGGAAAATTGAGGAAAAAGATTTTCGTGGGGTGTAACTGAATTTTTAGTATTATAGAGTTGTTGTTATAATTCAATAATCTCATTACGATCCTTCATCGGTTATTTAAGGACATAGTTATCTATTCAGCTCTCTCCGCGATCAAATGTTTGCCCTTATTTTGTGAATCGTGAAAAATACGTCTACTTACCTGCGATCCATATGACTCATGAATTGATAATCCATGAAATAGGGGATTCCCAATTATTAATGGAGGAACAGGTGGTGCCGGTAGCCTGTGCATGCCACTATCGGTTTATACATGAAATGCGTTTACTCACTTCATATTATTTGCATGAAAGAAAAGTTTTTGGATTATTAGCGGAAACTTCGTATAATTTTTGCGACAAACTTGCAAGTTAGCGTCAGTGCAATGAAGAGACAGACAATTCAATTAGTTAATTAATAATAATAATGTTAATGATGCTTATAATAATAATATTACTTCCCGAAAATACTTGCCTCGAAAAAAATGATCATCAAGTTCACATAATACCCAAGCGATAGCCACGAAGTTTTTTCTTTTCTTTCATATAAACTTCTTGTGATTATAGATTATAATTATAGATTACCTACATAATTAAAACTCATCTCGTCTCGTGTTTTCTTCAATGATTTTTATTCAAAACGTCGAAGTCTGCTCTGAATTCCATTCATGAAAGTGAAATTAATTCCTCCATCCCTTTCGCTTAAATATATTTAAATAATTATGAATTATTATTATAAATAAACCGAGTGTTTCAAATTACTCTCGTAAAGAGCAACTAATGAACAAAATATTCAAGAATCAGTATTGAAGTAAAAATGTTCTTTCTTCCGTTGATGATTAATCTCAAATTTCGTATTTTTGAATAAATTTTCTGAAACAAACACAGCCCTTTCCATAAAACCTCACGTTCTCTCGATGAACGAAAATAAATAATCCGATGACATTTTCAAAATTCATGACAATATCCCCAGAATACAAAGCACGTCTGCATAAATAAGAAATAATTAACAAAGTATCTAGATTCGACAAATTAAAAATCTTGAAAGTCCGCAGGATGATCATTTCCTCAGGGTTTTCCCCCAGCAGTTGTTGTCTGAGAAGCAGTATCACCTCCTGCAGATGCTGGTTTATCAGTGGCACCACAGACAAACCAGGGTAGCTTCTGCTGGAGAGCAGCCCTGTACTTAGGATGACTGATCCCATAAACAATTGGATTGTAACATGCATTAGTTTTAGCGAATAACGAGCCCCAAATAGTGAATAATGGACTGATCGTTGCTGTTTCGAAGATACCAGTGTAATTAATAACGAGATAAGGTGTCCAGGCCATGAACCACAAGGAGATGGTGGTGAGAGCGACTTTAGCTAGTTTAGCTTCAGCACTCGTTGCGTCCTGTTCACCACTCCTCAGGGATGCGACATTCATCTTCTTCGCCTGCTCTCTCATGGCTTTTTCGTGAGCTGCCACTGCCGATACGATGAACCAGTAGCTGTAGATTATCGTGAATAATGGAGTGTAGTACACGAAGACACTGTAAACCAGGATGTAAGACCTGGATATCCAATCCTTGGTGAGATAATCTGTTCCACATGCTGTCATGTTACCCTCTGGTACGTATCTGTTCCATCCTAACATTGGTAATATTGTCCACAGCAGGGCGAATAACCAGATGATGAGGATCTGGATTAGAGCTCTGGTTATTGTCAGTGGTGTGCCTGACATTCCCTTGACGATGACGTTGTAACGGTCGTAGGCGATTGCTGTCATTGTCCAGATTGAGGCACCACCGCACAGCGAACCCACCATTGCATAAATATCGCACATCAGGGGACCTTTAATCATTTTAGAAACAATATCTTGATGAAGAATTTCAGGAATTAAGAATTCTGGAGCGAAAAAAAAGGAATTGTTGATGAGAAATAATTACTTATTTGCGGGAAGTATTAAGTTTTTTATTATATACTTGTGGAATTATAATTAATTACTGGGTAGGTGATAATTAAAATTAGAGATGTGAATTTTGAGAAAAATTTTGAATTTAGAATAGAAGTTTTTACTCACCTAGCATCCACGTCTCGTACCAACAATTGATGACCATAGGTGGTGACTGTATAATCATCATGAGAAAATCCGAGAACGCCAGATTGATAACGAGAAGATTGGAGGGTGTTCTCAGGGAGGGTGTGAATAAGAAAATATAAACAACAACACCATTACCGGACCACCCGAGTATTCCAATGACAATCATCACGAGACCGAGTAATTTGTGCCAGAGTGGATCCATCGGTGGGAATTGATACCAATGTGGATCAATCAAACTCAGCATGTCCTCGGGGACCTTATCAGCGACAGTCTGATTGCTGTAACGCATCCACTGTTTGGCTGCTCTAGGTCCCATCGTAATTGCATGATTAATCAGTGTTGTTGAGTGTAATGTCGTTGAATTCGAAGATAGTGACTCCAAAACTGACGTTACGTTCTCCACTAGTTGCTCCATTCTTCTATTAGTTTTTTTTTTCTAAACACTCAAGACCATGAGACTTGAAATTTGTGAAACATCAATACTTTGTGGTACTGATCAGCAGCTGTGGTCAGCACGAGTGATATTTTCATCATTCTCTTTTATACGACTGTGGGAAGCCAATGAAACATTTTATTCAATATGAAAATCTACTCCAGGTCTTCCCTTCGATGCTGATTGCTGGTATTTGTCAGAATAAATTATGTACAGTCGATGGAGTTTCTTTCGGGGTTTCTTTTATTGCTTACATCAATCAGAATGGTGATTAAATTAAAATTAAAATTCAATTGAATTGAATTTGAATTTCGTAGGGATGTGAGAAGGGAAGAGGGATATCTAGTAGTTATCTCTCTTGGTTTCGAAGATATTGTTGTGAGAACTTGATTTTCATTGTACAGAAATTATTTCAATCATTTGATTATTCTCTTTATTTTACGAATGTGTTGGCTGCGACCCTCTTGTATGGCAGCCTCTAGCTCCTGAGTTAGATGCAGGAGATTTCTTGGGTCTGACTGGAGGACGACGTGCTCTTCAGCAGATGATTTATTCGGATTCTTCAGGGTGAAGTCCATCACCAGTGATGGAACCACTTGATGCAGCAAGGATCTGGATGCAATCTGGTGAATTAAATATTGAACTCAATTATTTTTGGGTCTTAAATTTAATAAATTTCGTCTCGATGAGGAGAAATTGGGACGCATTCACAGTAGATTTAAAATTAGATCTTGGATTGTACGCAACGAGGAAAAAATCGTAGTAGTAATTGATTCAGGGAAATTATTCAATTTTTACCACCGACGGTAGTGGCCGTGCGGTTAGAGTGCTAGACTAGCATGCCAGAGATCCGGGTTCGATCCCGGGCACCGGCGGTCAAAAATTTATAGCGCTCTGATCTCACGGTTCCACTGCCGAGCGGTAGTCCTGTCAAAAGGACGACTGTACCTGGGCAGGTTTTTTCCCTCAGATGAGGTTTTTCCCTCCCTTCAAGCAAATGCGGTACAGGGGGTTGGGGGGGTGGGAAGGGAACCAACTAACCGTAAAGACCCGAAAGGGTATACGAGAGAAAAGAAATTTTATTCAATTTTTACCTGCACTTCAAACCTCCACTCCAAATTATGATACTGTGGTATGGCAAAACCAATCTGAGATAATGCTTGCTGTAATTCCAGTTCTTTCTCAGTGTAGAGTGAAGACAGGAGGGATTGTTTGTCGTCTGTAAACCCCACGTCGAGTGTCAGCTTCTGGAATTCCTCTAAGGGTAACTGAAATACGGATTATTGATAAGAAAAAAATTGGGGCTATCAGAATTACAGTGGATTGACTGATTACCTTGTTTTTTGTGCATTCTATCAGTAAATGCACGAGTCCCTCCACTGAATTTTGAATGACTTTTGCATCGACTTCGAGTTTTTCTACGGATAAATAAATACCAAACTAAATAACAAGTGACAGAAAATTATTTTACTGATACACAGATCAAACTTACGAGCTGCTGCTGTATACAATTTCAAATTCGGTCCCTTCTGTAAGTAATCGATGACTAATTTACAGAAATCCTGAAGCACTGAAGAGAGAAATTACAATTTACAAATTAATCTTCAGAATGTCATTTTTCATTTCATGGTGCCATGTTTATTTACCTTGAACAGGTTGTTCTGCCAAAAACAGAAGGTGAGGTTTGTGATCAGCTGTAATTGGCATCATGATTCACTTCTTACAATCATAACTAAAAAATCCTAATTCAAGTGATAATTACAATCCACAACGTGAAAATTGATTGTTGACACTTGTGGGAGGAATTAATGGCAGGCGTTACTAGGCGCTCAGTAGTTTTCCTAACCTATCGGTTCAATTCAGTATTTCAATTTTCTACAAATTTTTACAACTATCGCCCGTTGCTAGTGCCTTTGGGAAATTCTCTTTCAAATTTTTCTTTTTTTTTCCAGAACTTTTTGTTTATTGTTGAGCTCTAACTCGGGATCGTTTTTCGGTCATGTTCGCCTTCATGTTTGCCCTTCAACTTTTGACCTTGAATTGATAACTGTCATGTTTTTATTTGCAATAAAAAAATCAGAATACATGAAAATTTAACAAGGGGATAAATTAAAGTGAATTAAACAAATTTTAATGATTATACATGAGCAGTTTATTACATACTCCAATTACTATACACAAAATTTCGAATTTCCATGGGGAATTCAATCTTCACAGTTTGACAATAAAAATTGACTAGATCTAAGAAATAAAATCGAATACAGCAAGTGTTTGGGATATATAAAATACTCGTACTTTGATAAACTCAAAAGTGTGTGGATCTGAAAATTCCATCACCTTCGAACACTTTCCTAAAGGAAAAATACTGTTGACCGAGGACACGCTGGAGAAATAATGTACGAAAAATTAAAAGAACAGAGATTATCAGGCAGACGTCGAGGAACTAGTCTTCAAGAATCTCTAAAATTTCTCACGGTCTAATCCTTATTATAAATTAATCTTATAAATTAACCAATCGCGTGAATAATTGCTTAGAAAAATTATGAGATTCGAAAAAAAATTTGGATGAAAGTTTTCCTCTTCGATCTGAAACTTTTTCCTGAATCTCACACATGAAAAAATATTTATTAATTGAAAACGCCGGCTCATTAACAAATAAACTATTAACGACTGAGCGGACTGCAATATTTCAAAAACTATTTTTTTTGTACAAAGTAAACGAGAGATTATTCTACTTTTACATTAAAAATATAAGTAAATCAATCCTCGAGACCCGTAAAATAATTAGTAATTTCTAAGAAATTTCCCTCGCAAATAATTCAATAGCGAAATAGATTTTAATATTTTTCGCAATTATCAACGATCAGCATCGACTTGTCACCCTTTACCTCTTCGTTAACGAAATTCTGTCCTAAAGAGGAACATTAGATTGAGGGTAGGCCAGCAAATAGAGCAACATCGTCTGTAGAATTTCCATCATCCTGATCAACATTAGCTGCCTCCATAACAGTTTCTGTTGGAGTCGGTGGAGCTGCGGTGGTAGAATTCAATACCGAGGGCTGTCGTTTAATTTTCTTCGCTGATTTAGTATCGCACGCTATCTCCTGCCTCGCTGGACACTCAAAATGAACGCAGTGAAACACCTCATTAGCAGTATTATGTGTTCCAACGATGCGAATAAATACGATAGGTCTCGGTGGATCAAACCGAATGGTCTGCCACGATTTGCAAGCCTCAGAGGTCTTGTCGACAACTCTCTCCCAATTGCATAAGTTCCCTGAAACATCGATGTAATATGAATAAGAACGATCGTCACAGTCCCAGAGCAGAAGTCTCATAGTGTCGATCATGTAGGGCTGGCCAAGCTGAACTAAAATTGAGCCAGAGCCGAGTTGATGGCACGTGTAGCCACTGTCCCAGTCGTAATTTGATGTGTCACCATTCAGAAGAGCATTTCGAGATCTACTCACACCTTCTATAACACTCGCACTTCTCTCCATCGTTGCGACGTTCTCTGATGGCATGACGAACCCTTTGTGCAACTTCTCTGAGTGATTTGTGTAATAAGCCTCGAAGCTCACCACGTGAAATACTTTATTCACTGTATTATTGGTTCCGACGATGCGAACGTATAAAGCAACACGTGGCTCGAAGTACAAATACTGCCAACTACGACAAAAGTACTCGGAGTGATCGATCACTTTTACCCAGTCCTTCTGATCAATCGACACTTCTATGTAGTAAGAATAAGAACGCATGTCTCGATCCCACAGGAGCATCTTCGCATGATTAATTATACTCTGAGCCCCCAATTTTATGAGAATTCCATGGTCCTGCAATTCCGTTATTACATGCCTCGTGTATCCTTTCTCCATATCGTAATCATGTGTATCACCATCGAGAAGATAACTCCGCATTTCTCCCTGGAGTACCTGAGCACCGTACCTGGGGTGTGCCACATTCTCGTCAACGAGCAATCGACCCCGATAAATCAGCTCCGAGTCTCGTGTCTGGGTGCGTGCAGCAATTGCATCTAGAATAGCTTCTGGTGATACGAGACCAGTGGGACGAACGACATTCAGAAGATCAGTGATCGCTATGAGACTGAGTCTTACTTGTCCTAGAACTTCATTTACATCTACATCTGGATTTGCCTTTACCCACGTCTGCATCGCGAGAAATATATCGATTTCAGGTGCATAGAATGAGTCCCTTGACACAAGCGCTTTCACAGCATTAGCACTCAATTCCAAAAAACTCTCGTGCTTTATCACTTCGAGGGCATGCTTGTCCATGTACTCATGACAAACCTTTGTCAGTCTCTCCAGTTGATAAAGACGTGTGGCATCAAATATCAGACAAATATTTTTAATATTCAAAATTTCTTTGAGATAATCAGAAATAGCCATCTCCAATTCAATGAAACCGTACTGATGTGCCAAACCCAGTATATCCAGGACAATCTCTTCACGTTGATTCGTCAATGACAGATGTCCAGTGTAAATGTATTTGAGGAGCTCTTTAAAAGCTGGTAGTGTCGTACCCTTCAGCTCAATCTCTTCCTGCATGCTCTCTTTCAGTCCCCCAAACAAAAGTGCACGAAAATACTGACTCCTGGCAGCAAGGATCACCCGGTGACCGCTGAAACGTTGCCCAGACACAATAAGTGTCACGTCTGAGCACTCGTCAGAAAGGTAAAGTCCTCCGATGTCCTCGGAGAGGTGATTTATGTGGGTGACCTCTCCAGAGGGTGGATTCAAGTGATGATGAGAGCTCATTCCTGCTAAAAAAGAGCCTCAGCTCCCAGATTTTTCACCTGTCAGAGACATCACTCGATTACAAAAACACATTCACAACATAATTAATACACAATACATAATACATAATTAATTATGCAATCAGTTTTTGTTGGATAATTGATGCGTTATTTACTGTGCATTACGTTATTTTTATTTGTGAAAACTCACTTAGTAATGGTCTTGTTGATTTGTTGTGGGTGTACTCATAGCACATCACATTCAGATCACCGATATCTCTCTGACAATCCACTGATAATAAAGTTGTTCTTGCAATTTTCGCAATGTCAATTTAATCTACGTCTGATGAAATTGGGTGTTATGATGATTGAGTTATTGGGAGGCTTTGATGTTATTTTTCTTTCCTTTTTGGCAAATTGAGAAAGTGCCATGGCGGTGTACATGCGAGCCGCCATTTTTTTGATCGCGCATTTCAGTCGCGCATGCATTACCTGCGCCAATCGGAAACTCAATGTTGGCGGATAATTCAAATCCTATAATTCATCCATAATTTATTCCATTAATGAACTACCATTTTTCTGCATTAATAATTCTCTTAAAAAAAAATTATTTTGGCTAGAATAATTTTTTTCATGATTTTCCGAATTTCGAATTTTCTTGGGTTAAATAATCCGCAATTGGTTATTTGTATGATAACAATAATAATTCAAAGGAATAATAAATAATGTAATTCTCATGTTGAAAATTAAATTTAGAGCTCATGACAACGACTGAATATAATATTATAAATTTAAATAGATTTTTTGTTGGACAGTCTTCCCGCGTTTTACCCCCTCCAGTCTGGAGTCTCGATTCGAGACTCTCGAAGCTGTGAGACCGTTACAAACCGTTCGCACAGCATTCGAGTTACGAGTTCAGTCCAGAGAACTCGTGAAAACCTTCTGTTTAGCAACAACAAACGACCCACCGGTTATTATCTCCCAATCAAAATTGCCCCGAGAGATTTTCAACACCTGGGAAAATCCGAGGAGGCAGTAATTTTTTAACAATAAAGATTAAAAAATGGATATGGTCGAGGACTCGGAAGTGGTTCAGGAAGCAGACAGCACGTTGCCTCTGCGAGCAGCTCTATCCCACATTTTCGGAAAGATCGGAGATTCTGTGAGGTGAGATCAAAATTTAAGTCCTCAAATTTTGGGCATCATAATATCGAGGAATTTGTTGGGTGACCGTTTTTGTTTACACTATTCCCTTCAGACTATCTGTATTTATTTCGAGGATTTTATCACCCCAGAATGTGGGAATAAACCATTTCTTTGTTTACTTGCTCTGTATTTGGGCGTCTCTTTGTCTCGTGTTCGTTTACGCTTCAGAAATTCTCTCTTGTTAATTTTTTTCTTCTTTCTGTAACGTTCGGTCAAGTTTTGGGGCATTGTGCACGAGACCCTCGGAAGGGACACGCGAGGGCCTTTTTTTTTTCGTGAATCTCGACAATCTTTTGACCGCTGCCTCGGGGACAAAGAAATTCCGTTGCCATGCGTTTTTATTCGTGTGAATTTTTCACCATCGTTTTTGGTTTGAGGATTTTTTTTTACTTTCGCGGAGAATTTGGCATTTTTGGCGAGGAGAGTCATCTCTTGGTTCACACTGGATCATTATCAAACGGGTTTCGATGGTGATCCGTTACTTTGGTGACCGGAAATCCAATATCCGCGTGATTTTTTTTTTTTTTCGAAACTCAATCGTGTCTTTCTCCCACGCTGGGATCAATTGATTCATTGTCGTATCTTGAGAGCAGACATTGAGAAAAATATATTCCAGTCAATGTGTAATATTCTTTATAGAAGAAAATATATTTTCGTGAAATATGGCTTGCAGGTTGTCCAAGTCTAAATCGAAATACTGTGAAAATATCAAGAAAGAGAAAAATATTCTTTTGATTCCCTTGAGAGAAGCATCCAGTCAATTCAGTTAATTGTGACCTCCGAAGTACTTTATCAGTGATAATTACTTGAAAATATAATTTATTCAATATTTTTGATGATTTTTTTTCTCGCCAGTGGAAGGGAACTCTTTGTGTTTTTACTCAGGCCTGGACACTTGCAACTTTGTGGTTCTTTATGTTCAAATTGCACCTGTCCCGGCCTGACCGCGAACACGCTATCATCGAGACGTAAACGACGATTGAGGTAATTCCAGAAACAAATTTCGAAGAAATGGTGGATATTCTCGTGGGTTCCGGAGGGAAACCATGGATATAAAATAAGTAGAGAAGAATAACAAGTCAATTTATCCCCTGTACACTTTTTCGATGAATATCTGTGGATCTAATAGAGATACTCGAATTTTCGTGTTTACCTTTTTTGTAGGTCTCACTTCGCCTGACACAAAAGGTCCTAATGAAAATATCACTATCTCTGTCAGATTCAGAGATATCCCTTGAAAACTCTACTCGTCACCCTTTGCCTCTTGGCTCCTGAAATAACTTCGATATCTCGCCTGTGTGAAATTTAATCCGCTGTTTATAGAAACATTGCTTGAATTTCTCTGAATGATCCGATAAAGTTACCCCTCGTCTGTGCACCAGAGGGAATGCTGCAGTGATTTTTTATTCCCTTTGAAGTATTAATTACGATTACTGATTGAAAATTTTTCCAGTCAGGAGCAGTTTGCAGAGTGCCAGAATTTCTTGAGATTGCAGCTCCCAGAGTCAAAGTTCACGTCGACAGTTCACAAACTCCATGGGAAAATCCGACAGGACCTCCAGGAGATGATGAACAAGGAGTTGGATGAGATGATGGCTGAGGAGAGTCTCACCAGTGGTTTAAATAAAATCAAACAATTACTCATGGAAACTCCGTACAGTCCTGGGGAAATTGTCTGGTACGTACAATAAATCAAATCGATCTTGAGGAAGAATATTTAATTAATCAAGACAAATGTTAAATCCCACTTGTCACATTTTATTTTGAACAATTGAATTGAAAAGACTAACAAATTAATTTTTTCCTGTAGGAGACCACCTGGGGACGTCGCCCTCCACGTCAGATCTTTCGACGTATGCAAAATCCAGGAAGAAATCGACAGATTGACGCCACTAGTCGACGATTTAGAGAATGAAAATAATAATCTCGTGAAAAGTCTGTTGAAAAAACGACAGAAGAGGCAGATTCTTGCTAATAAAATTGCGAAATCAACGAAAATTGGAACGAATTATATAGCAAAGCAGGAGAAATCGAAGGAGCGCATCCAAAAATATGTTAATGAATATGACGAGCAGATTGATACTGAATAATCCATCAATCCCCAAATATTCGTGTACAGTACTGATGTAAATATTATTTTTATAAAGTCTGATGACTCATGTGATACTCTAATTCACGAGTCCTATATTATTTTCTTGTATCAATTGTACCAGATTTTTCATCATGAAATTCCTTCTGCAATGAATCTCTCAGGATTTTCAGCTCAGCAATTTTCCTCAGAAGCTGATCAGTGATATTCCCCTGGACCTCTCCTCTTGTCACTGCCAATCTCTCATAAATCCCTTTCATCACCTCCACCTGCTCCTCACGTTCTCGAAATTTCATCTCGTTGCACTTGGAGACGTGAAGTGCCTTCTCCTGCAGCATCTTCACCTGGGATATTGACTTCTCTACCACTAGGAGCTCTGATTCCCTTCTATCTATCGTCGTCTTAACCAGAACAATCTCATCAGCGATTTGGGAAATAATCCTCCGAAGTCTCTCCACGTCTCTGTTCATTCCTTCAATTATAACATTTTTTCTGCACACATTCCTCAATTTATTACATAATTAATTAATAATAATTAATAATTCCCCAAATCCCCCATTCCCCTATTTCAATTCCCCAAATTTATCAATTAAAATTCTACAAATTTTTCAACAAATCTTGACAAAAGTGAATATTCCGTTATTTATAGTCCCCCCCACCAAAAAAATTGATTCCGCCAATTAACCTTTGAATACCGGTGAGTCTTCCAATAATCAATAAATTCTCAATAAACAATAACTCTCCCTTAATACCTCTCTCCTGGAAAAATCAACAAAACAATTGACTAAAAAATGAATCATAACAAAAAAACGAATAATCCGTTAAAACAAACATTACCGAAGCATTTTCCAGCGTCTCGATCAATTTGTTTATACCAAAAATAATCCCCACAGCTCAGCTGATAACCAAAGTACAAGTGGCGCCGCCATTGAATTTCCCGCGCCAGTGAGTCGACGAGGGATTGGTGTACGCCATCCAATGGAATCATCGGAAAAATGTCAAGTACATGGCGTCGCCGTTAGATGACTTTACCGTGACCATTGAATTTTTCCAACGCATTTATCGGTGCGCCATTGCGACGTGATTGCTGTCCCCAAGTATTTCGGTGTTTTTGTGACTGAGGATTGATCCAGTATCACCCGATTCTCCCGCAATCATCATCACCGAGTGAGTACCAATCAATCAGCTAATTGAAATAATCAAGTTGATGGTAAAATTCGAGGTCAAGGGGTGACGAACTGGTGGGCAAAATGGGTCCGAGGATTCTCTATTTTTTCCTCAATCCCGAGGGGTTAGTTCTAGCCCTCTTTCGTGCGCGTGGTACAGCCAATGGAATATTGACGCTTCACAATTATTCTGTAATTATTTATCAACTCCGATGGGGTTTCACCGGCTATTATCGCCCCACTGACTCCTGGGGATGATTTTCTTTGTCGGTTTCTTGGCGGGTTTGATATCCTCGGACATCCGGTTTTTTTTTTCTTTTCTCGGGGATGTGTCGAAACGACGCTTTCGGGTTGACGCGTTATCGGTATGATAACGCTCATAGCGCATTTGACCTGGAGTTTCCAGTGATGGAAACAATTCGGTGGTGTGATATCGTGGGGGGTTTGTGGGGTATTATGAGCACTCGGCATATTCGGAAATTTTGAATTCCAGTTGGAATCTTTGGGGTAGGGTGTAATGGAGGACCTGGGGAAAATGGGATATCACCCGGAATGTGGGGTATGTCGTCAGCAATTCTTTTTGGGGGGCTTGGGGAATTCTTTGGGAATTTTTCTCAGTGGAAATGTCAAGTTTTTTTTTGTGGAGAGGAGAATTTTTTAAGGAAATTGGAGCAACTTTTTTCCTTATGGACAAGGTGAAATTTTTATTTTCTGGCGGAGTATTATAAAGTAGTTTTAATGTTTTAACAGGAGGAAATGGTTTTCAGAGTTTTTCTTTGGATTCGCTATTTTTAGGTGCTCCAAACTCAATTAAAACCGAGAATTATGATGAGTAATGAGATTGTTATTCGAAGAATGACCTTGAATGAATTTTTAATACCGATTATTATTATTTCGAATTACTCCGAATTTTTCTACTTGAGAAAATCCGAAATTCGGAAATCGAGGGATCAATAAATTAATTAATTAACAATCTATTTAATTCCTTATAAAATCTATTTTTCCTAATTATTCTTTTATTGCAGGGAATTATTTATTAATTATGAAATTACTGTAGAAAATGATTAAATACCTGAAAATGTTAATCATTATTTCTCTCACTTCATCAATTCGCTACCGTGTTTCAACAGCTTTCCCTTCAGGAATATATTTTCAATCAATTAAAATACGTATGCGTAATCGCGAGTAGATAATGACAAATAATGACTGCCGACAATTATCTGATTATTTTAGTAGTAACACATCTGCTATTAACTCCACAATCGTCTGGGCTCAATTAAAATCATTGTTTCCAATTAAAGCTTCCCTCAGATAATTAATTTTATAAATCAACTCTCTCATCACCAGAGCCCGACAAAAATCCCTAAAAGTATTATCATAATAATAATTCCTATGAACTCCTCTTTCGAATCAATTTCGTTGTTCTAAACTCAAGTTATGCTCACATTACTTCCATTACCACTGAAATTTCAAGGAATTTCGTCATTAAAAATTCACAACTCCGCGGAAAAATCAATGCGAACCGTTAATATCACTTCCATTATTCCCTGAAAATCGATACACAAGAGAAAAATATATAAACCTGCCAATTCACTTAAAAATAAATTAAATAACTATTGACTTTTTAAAAATAATTCTCACTTTTCAAACATTTATTGAACTCATTAAAATCTGAAATTTTATTTTCCATCTAGACAGCTGACGCGAAATTTTTGAAAATAGTGATTGAACGTTTAATTTCTAATTAATTTTTTATTTCATGTGTAAATAATCATAGTTCAACCACAAAGATAATAAAAAATGAATGATAGATCATTCGATTATTCAAAAGGTCCTGAATTAGTTCAATTTGTTCGATTGGTATTTAAAACACGAATGATTGTTTAAGAGATAATTTATAAATTAAAATCAAGGGAAGTTCAGTGTGCAATCGAAAAAATCACGTGCGGTATAATTTGTTTTCTTCAAATTGAAAAATAAAAAAATAGGTTCCCAGCCCCATGAGTCCTGTAATTGACGCAACAAGTGTTGAACGATTACATTCAGGTGTTGCCTAGAGATTTATCCGAATTCCCCAGCAGATTTTCCTGTGAAAATCGACTCCCTAGACCAGGGATAATTATCCCCCGTTCTTGATGAACCCCCATTAGTTCCAATTCGACAGGTCATGTAATTGCAGGCTATCGAGGTAAAAATTGACTGGATTATTTTCACTCCGTGGGTCAGCCCTTTGCCCTCTCTTCGTTATCTTTTTCTTACCAATTCCTCCCTTTTTCATATACCGATTCCCCCGGTTTCGTGTTGCCACAGCACAACAAACCGTTGCCACGACAACTTACCGACAGGCGGTTGCCATCACAAAAGTTTGAACTTGTGCGAATGCAAAAACCGCCATGTCTTTTCTTTTGCCTTTTCCAATCATTGCCACACCAAGAAAAAAATGTATTCAAAAGAAAAAACAATTTTTCAATAAATAAACAACGAATTCATCCAATAGTCCCGAGTGCTGGATATTCAATTGAATAAATTTTTTTAAAACACATAATTTTTCTCTTAATATTAAGATGACAACAATATTTTTTAATTTTCAATAGTAAATAAAATTGGTGTAATAGAATTAAACAATTCACTTTGCTGTTTCGATTTTATATGACAACATCATTAAGAGTTTATCATTATTTATTTATTTAGAACCCTTGAATTTTGGAATCAATCGAAAGATTAAATTAATCGAATATATTTATTAGCTTTTAATTAATTTAATTTTTATTAGTTAATTTTTCTTCGAGTCCAATGCACCGATTAACAAATTTATTTCAAGATTTATATTGTTGATGGATGAAATTGCAATTTCAACTCTAGCTATTATAAAATGACGAAATATTTCCTAGATATTCGCATGCCCACATGACATTCATCTCCACCTCTGCTAATTCTCGCATCCAATTAATTCCTCGGTAATTAGAATATTGACGATGCCAATGGACAATGAGGAGTCCATTGATTCTTGCGTTGGCACTTATCAGCGTGAAAGCCACGGAATAGATCCTGAGGTTCGATCCCAAGGTCGTCCTATACACGTATCATTAATTGCGGTATTGCACAAGGCGCAATTGCAACAGCTGGTGCACCTCACATTCGCTCCATTCCTCGGTTAAATCTCGAAGCTCAACAACAAATTATTTCCAGTCAAGTTTATTAATTAATCAAGTCAATCGATCAAGGAGTTTATATATTCTGGATATTATATAATTTCCATATAAATCTATTTACATCTATATTTCTATATTTTTCATAAATTGAACTGAATGAATTTCAAGTAAAAAATAGGATTTTGGAAATTTTGAAAAATTTCTGTGGTTTTATTTTTTATTTTGGAATCATAATATGAGTAGGAGGGGTAGGATAAAAATAGAATGACCAGAGTGGATAAAATAGTCGGAAAATAAGAAAAATGGGGGAAATGAGGGGGAGATATTGCACACGTGTTTCGAGGGGGTGAATACTAGAGGGGATTTTTGATATCCGAGGGATGCGAGGGTGTCTATTACTGTTATTATTGTAAACGGTATGGAAGTTTCCCAGTCTTCACTTTTCTCTCTGAGGAAAATATAATGAGACCCTTCTTCGGGTACCACAGACTGGGTACACCCGTTTTACCCTGAATTATTGAGAATGGCGTGTCGCACATCCAAGAAACCGTCAAATGCTGGAGAATATTCTCCCATTGGCGACAGTTAGACTGTCTGGGAATTATCATTTCAATTGGAGAAATTTTCAGTCTTACGAATGATATTAGTATCATCTGGAATTATTTATGATTAACTCGAGAGCATGTGGACAATAATTGTCTAATAATCAAATTGTTTAATATAATTGTTCACGAAGAAAACAATTCATTTTTTTTTCCAATTATCCATTTTCTTGAGAGAATCATTTATATTTGGAAATTATATTTCTTTGTAAAATTTTTGAATAATTAAGAATTAATTTTTTCAATTTCTGGAAAATTGACTTTTATCTACAATTCATAAACAACTTTATAAACAATTTATTTTTTTTTTCAATTATCCATTTTCTTGAGAGAATCATTTATATTTGGAAATTATATTTCTTTGTAAAATTTTTGAATAATTAAGAATGAATTTTTTTGAATTTCTGGAAAATTGACTTTTATCTACAATTCATAAACAATTTTATAAACAATTTTTTTTTTTTTTCAATTATCCATTTTCTTGAGAGAATCATTTATATTTGGAAATTATATTTCTTTGTAAAATTTTTGAATTAATTAAGAATGAATTTTTTTGAATTTCTGGAAAATTGACTTTTATCTATTGAAAATTGAATTATAGTTGAAATTATTAAGGCAGTGATAATTTTCATATCAAATTGAAATTTTGATAAATCAATGATTATTGGATTGGAAGTCAAACTCATAATTGAATATTCAGAAGAGATTATTACTGGAATATCCCACATGTACAGCGAATTTTCATGAAACTTTTGTCATTATAAACAATCGGGTCATAACAGCGAGTCAGTTTTACTTTCTTCCAAGGCTACATGATTATTTATTCTCATTCGACCAACATTCTGACGCATATCGAAAAGCCCAGGGTATATTTCTCCTTTTTCCTATAATTTTTCCATCGAAAGATATTCGGCTCTGAAAATTGTTGAAAATTTTCTTGATTGAAAATTCTTTGTGATATAAAATACTCGGTATTCTATTATTATTACAAAACCAATCAGACTTTACCATCGAAAGCACAATTTTTAATTTTTCTAGATCAATAAAAATTCAATGAGAACATTCAGGGAAAATTTTCAATTGAAATTAAATTGAAATAAACACAACTCAGAATTTAAATCAATTCCCATTTTTACTTTAAGTTAAAAATTCAATTATTATTCAATCCAAAAACTCAAAGATATAAATATAATTAACATAAATTATATCGTCATATAAATTGTTTGAAATTTTGGAATAATGTTTTTGGAGTGATAATAGATAACGTCTTGTGATTATTAATTATTAAAGTTTGCAATTAACACAGGCTCCTATGGAGAAAATAAAAATTTCTGTTAAGTAACCCAAAATCTAAAATTTCGTTGAAATTTTGAAAATCTACAATGGAAAAAATTTCATGACGATAGACTAAAATTTTCATTAATTTGTTTAAACAATATAATATGTATCCATAAAATCAGCTACAATATAATAATTTTGTATGGCTATTACTCCAACGAATTAAAGGATTGAAATATAAATTGAAAATTAATTGCGATAAATCTAATGAATTATAAAAAGAGCATTCTTGAATCCAAAGTACAATTGAAAATTGAAATTCCTTGAAATTTAAGGAATCGCAAAGAGGCGTAAATGAACATTTTGGAGTAATCCATAATTTTGACTTGATAGTGGGGGGAGTTTTTCCCCTGTGTAATTACGTGTGACCCGCGTGATGTCGAAGAAGAAGGACAATTGCAGAGAAATCGGGGGGAGGGTAACCGAGGGAATACGTAAGACCAGAAAAGGGGGTATACACCTAGGGGTAGTCCACGGGAAGAATTGCAAACTACTGTGGGGACGACGCATCTGTCCCAGCATATTTGATGACCACCTGAAACAATCCCTCCACTATCTACCACTTTTTTTTTCTTTCCACTAATAATTTTCCCTCACCAAGTCCATTAAAATTTTCTCAACTCCACTCGTCGCGACAGTCGAGGCGAGTTGGAAAATTTATTATTATTATTTAAACATTGACCGGTAAATGTTGGCACCGATTTGTCACTCTGGTCTCCATCCAGTCATTTCACGTCGGAAAATTGCCGACATCTTCTCCAAGGCCCCGTCGTACTCACAAATAATAAACCATAACATATTTTATTTATTTATTATCTCATTCAGATGTACGTACAGCCGTATTTTTAATATTTTTCATTTATCTCCCGTCCATAAAAAATATAAACTCCATCATTTCTGAACTGAATTTATTATTCAACAAATGATATTCAATAAAATTCAATAATTATTATCAACATTTGGAACAAATTACAGAAATAATTATTAAATATTAATAATAATAATATCAATAAAATAATTTCTGGTATATTATGTTCGGTGATATTTCGGTATTGGACACCTAGATAAGGAAATAATTTTTTTTCTTATTCTCCACCACTTGTCGTCTCCCCTGTGACCCTTCACTCTCGCTGATGCCTCGACAGATTTTCCCTCTAACAATTCTCGATATTTTTCCTCTTGAATTTCCAACCCCCCGAAGTAACGGAAACCCGAGGTATCGCTTCACCTTTCGAGGGACATAGAATGGTGTATAGAACCTCTTGTCCACTCAGTGGTGCATTAATTATGTAGGAAAAGCACCCGAGGTGATCGATAGTCGAATGTTAAAAGATTGATGGATCCCCCCACGATTTCAAACGAATATCCACCCACCAACCATCGATTCAACCCCAAGACGACGTCAGGATGCTATACGATAATTCACTGGCTCCACCATTTTTTTTTTTTTGCAAAATTCAATTTTAAAATATATAACAAATAATCCAAATACTTTAAAATTCACTTTACATCATATTTTTTTAATATATATCGCATATATTTGAATTTGAATTTCAATTCATTTTTCGATACCCGTTATTTTTTTATTCACCAATTTGTTTTTAAATGGAAAATTTCGTTCGTAGCCAGTGGTCAGTCGGTTTTTCACGGTGAAAAATTTATCTCCCGTCCGTATAATATTCACTCACCAAAATAAAATAAACAGAGACCCAGAGATTTGCAACGAGCAAGAGGAAAACTATAAACCGCGAAGAGACGGGCAGTAACTAAACGCCTGAAAGAAAGCCAATGGAATCTTCTCACGGATAAGCACCACTTGCATGGCAGAAATAAGAAGGACCTCAAGCCAAACGACATTGCTGACTACATGGCTTTTATCCTCTTATTTATTTTTATTTTTTCTCTATTTTTGCATTTTTCGGAGAAAAAACCGCGTGCCACACACCAACCACCTTGAACCATCTCCAGATGCCCCTCCTCCTCCCCTCCTCTTCCCCCTCTCGCCCTTTTTTCTTTACACCCATTCACATTATTGCGAAGAATATATTTCACACAAGATATATATTATTGACAGGTCAAAATATAGTTTTTTAATTATTTCTGGCTTCAATACAAAAAATTAATGAATTAATTGATTAGATCGATTTGAGAGGATTTTTTCATTGCACTGAAAGAAAATTATTTATAACTCGTAAATATTCAATTAATTCAATCATTTTTTTATTATTTCTGGCTTGATGCCCCCCCCCCCCCCCCCTCCCTTTTTTCTTTAAACCCATTCACATTATTGCGAAGAATATATTTCACACAAGATATATATTATTGACAGGTCAAAATATATTTTTTTAATTATTTCTGGCTTCAATACAAAAAATTCATGAATTAATTGATTAGATCGATTTGAGAGAATTTTTTCATTGCACTGAAAGAAAATTATTTATAAATCGTAAATATTCAATTAATTCAATCAATTTTTTATTATAAATAATTCTCTCGAGTTAATGCACATTTGGCATTCATTACTTTCCACATGTGAAATTCCAGATTTTCTTAGGTTCAATAATTTTTAATATTTCCAGGTGAATTTTCTATTTTTCCTGAAATATTCAATCGATTCCCCAAAAATCAATTCCCCAGTTGCTCAATCCTCAAATTTTTCATCAATCGTCTTGAAATTAATTTCCTAGGCAATAGCAATAGTACATTTATTACACACCATCTGCTGGGTGCATACCCCAATAGCAAGTGCATTGGAATAGGAGATAGGGTGTGGGTGGTGGGTGGTTGGATGGCTGAGGGGGTGGTTCAGGTTGTGGAGAACTCCAATAATATCGATCGACTTGATTGTTGATGCGAATGGTAACCAGGGGTGATGCCCAACGTTTCAACCAATAAAATACACCTTGGTGGCCGGTAAATCCACCAATGGGGTTGAACATTTGCCGGCATGTTTTTTGATTGGACGATTCAAGGGGATAAGAGCACCAGTTCGAGGCCATAGGGTACCATACACGGTTGGTTGATCACAACAAGTGGAACCTAAAAGTATCACCAACGTTTCATGTCTGAATATCACTTCATGACACCTGAAACTCTCCAAAGTTGTTGGCCATCCGAGTTATCTTGTGATTACGTTTAAATAATATTGTGTAAGGAGATAAGTTTTAACTCGCAACCTCTGAATTCTATTTTTTCTTTATTTTCCCTCATAATTTTGTATTGTTATTTTTTTTTCTCGACTACCGCTGGTTTCGCGATTTTTTTCATCCTGAATACTCTCGTTTCGTTTATTACTCGCACCGGAATTTTTCCCCTTTTTTTTTCTCTTTTTGAAAAACCACGGATGCGATAAAGAGATGAGAAAATAACGCCCAGGGCTTTCTGTCATCTTTATAGTGCGTAGCCACAGACCGGCTAATGTATTCTCCTTTTGTCTCTAGAAACCTCAACGAGTGAAAGGAGTGGAGATTCTTTGTGCATTGTTCGTTTCGAGTTAGATCTGCTAGTGCAGAGAGAATTTGATTTTTCGAAAAAACCACTTTTTAGTCCGGAAATAACGATTTTGGTGGGAATAACTCGATTCAAATCCATTCCGTCACGTTTATTCACCAAATAATGTCAAATTGCAATATTTATATAAATTATATTGGATTCATCTGTGCCAAATCATTTTGCTCGATCAATCTAAATTAATGTGCCCGAAATACATTTTTTTTTTATCAGTGAATTCCAAAATTGTGAAGTGACACTAGTCGAATCACCCATTGTTTGAGGGCGATTTATATCGAAAAGTATCGATTCTAGGCAGAAAAATGAGAAGACCTTTTTTCAGGGCGCTTAAATTTCCGACAAAAAAGATCTCTTCCTGTTTTCTCCTGAAACCAGTAATTTACCACATAAATCGTTTTTTATGCTGATGGAGTCAAAACTGAATTGATTACACACCGACTATTTGTTTAAATAATCAAATTTTCTGTCTGTTCACAGGTAAACAGCCAATAGTAATTCCATACATCCGAAGAATCAAGTAACTACCAACGGAGGCGAGGCTGCGTGAAGAACTAGTGCCAACACTTTCATCTAAAATCGGTGAGTTTATGTGCATAAATCGGTATTTCATTTCTCCTGGCGGGTTTTTACGTCGAATTCCTCTTCCTCATCGATGAAAGATAGGACGTACTTCCATTCACACGGAATTCCCGTCATGCATGTGTATTCATAGAGCAAATACCTCTCACTTGTGCGAATCCTCGTAAGATTAACGATCGAGTCAAGGTATTGTTTCCACCCTGATGTCTCGATATTCCTCGCGATTTATTTCTCGTTGTTTATTTCCCTCCCCCACTCACCCTCTCCCTCCAACCCATTTGCAATTTATTATTATTATTTTTTCAATGAAATACCAGTGGATGTCGGCCAGTGGCTAGTTCGTTTATTCAGTTTTTTCACCTGAACTCTGAATGAGAACTATTAAAAATTGAACTGCTGCTGTTCGTCTCTGGGGATAATTGAAAGTAATGAGTTTCGTGGAAGTTGTAATGACGGCATCGTAAATTCCCATTTAGAGAGCACTTTACTCGAAAGAATGCCATCTGCTAGTAGAAAATTCACGGATATTCTCAGTTGTCAGTCGAGTAAACAGAGAAATCTGCATTGAGCACTTTTTTTTATTATTCTTTGACTCGTTACTCAACGACTCATTGATACTGTTTCTCTTTACCTTTGTGTTTTCAAAATCCCACCAGTTGTCTCCCATTTTGTTATGATAATTCAGTATTAACGGTGCGCCGTAATGAATAATTATTATTTATTTAACTGGAATCGCGAGATATTTCGACTGAATATTGAAATTATTCTGTGCTCACATAAAAGAATTGAATAATTTCAACAGGTCGACGTTTTTTATTTGGAATTGCGGGGAAAATTATTTTTCAATTGCGAAATGCCAATCAATAAAAAATCGACATTTCCCATCGTTTCAATTATAAAAGATTTCGAAAATAGTTGTCATATAATTTTTTTACAATTACGGGGGAGACTAGGTGTGGAAAAAAATATATTTTCGCATTAATCTTGACTTGTGTCTCCTGCATCAAAAGAATTGTAACGAACTCGTAGATTATTTCAAAGACAATAGGCTGAATAATTCCTGAAGACTGCATATTTCCTTTTGATAATGCACATACCAGTAATTTACTGGTACTCTTGTATTGTCGTGTAGCTGGGAGGTACAAACTGGAAGAAAACGTGGAGGTAAAAAAATGTACACGATAAATGAAATGGAAAGAAGGATGAAGATCCGAGGGGGTGAAATAAATGGGGTCGTGGTGAAAATGTCGAGTGGAGTCTGTGCGCAGGCGTTTTGGCGCAACAATAGGGGGTGAAATTCCAAGAAACGGTTCAGTATCCACCCGACCATCAGCTGATCAATATGTTGGTTGGCACGAGACGTTGAAAAATATATTTCGCATGTTACGCATTCCTATGGAGATTTAAGATATCGATAAGTGATACTCAATATTCTATTCGTGATAACGTGATTTTAGTCTCGAATTTTTAGTTTCGCCAGCCGGTACAATCGAAGTGGAGGTAAATCGATAGTTATTGGTATGATTTAGATTAATTGTAAATGGGGGAGGAATATTTGAGGAAAGTTCAGTTAATTTACGGTAATTGTGGGAAATTTTGTGGATGTTTTTGTCGTCTCTTCGGAATTTTCTGTTGTTGTGAATTTTTAGCGAATAGTGAATTAAAAAAAAATTTATTTTACTGGCATCTCCATTTTCAATTGTTCGAGTTTGAATGGAATTCTAATTCAAAATGAATTTTGTGCATATCCTTGAATTTTTAAGACTATATTGAAAATTACAGATCGAATAGAACTACATTTTTAATCAATCACAATTTCTGATTTTTCCGTGCCTTATGGACGTGAAAATCGCGTCATTAAGTATTCCTTGATTGTTACCACAATATTTAAAAAATATAAAATTCGTTGATGGAGAATTCTAGAAATTTCCCGTCACTTTATTGTCGTTGAAATTTTTTCAGTTGCAATTTCAAGTGCAACAGTGTACTCGGTGGCAATTATTGTTGAAAATTTCCATTTTTAATTGAAAATTGAAGTGCAATATTAGAATGTACTGCAATGTGAAAGAAGGAGTCACTCGCATCGAGATGAACGCGTGTACGTTGAATTCTCTGGTAGTAATATAACATTCCCCACTTCTTCTCCAACTTGTAGATATCCCCTTCTACGCAAGAGCACTTCGCGATAGTTTCGCGGAATAAGGGGGGATATGTATACGTGTGAATGTGTGGAGAATTACTTTTTTACACCATGAGGCCGAGGTTCTGTTCTGTTCTCTTCTGCTACGTCTTGGCGTACAGCTACGACCGCCACTCGAGTCAAGTTCAGTTATCCAGCAGGTGCTATTTTATATCGCGAATTATTTCTCTTTATTTATATATTTTTCCCGCCAATTTTTACTAATTTCACGATTTTTCTTACCGATTTATTAACCGATCTCATGATTTTTTGTGACGATTTATTCGAATTTCATGTTTTACCACCGATTTTTCTCGAATTCACGATTTTTAATACCGATTTTTTGCCGATTTCACGATTTTTTCTACCGATTCTCGCGTTTTCTATTGCCATTTATCACGATAATGAATTATCGAGAATAGTACATTGATATGAAAAAAATCGGCCGATTTCAGTGACTTGGAAAATAAAAATTCGTGAGTGCTTGTAGAACAGCTTGTATTTTCACTCTTCCATTAACATCTCGTGTAGTGATGATTTGTTCTTCATTCTTGTGAGTAATTTAGTGGGCATCAGTGAGAAGCAGCATTACACCTGGTTGAATTTACGATCGTAATAAGGGTAAAACAGTGTGAAAATGAGATTGAGCCCGTGTTTTGCCTCTGAATAAACGATTTAGCTTTTATTTCGTATGTGTTTATTCCAAATATAAATTTTCTGCTGTGTGAAAATCGGTTACCGTTTGTTTAAATCAATTATCAACGGAATCGTTTACAAAAATCGGTTAAAACTGAAGTGAAGTAAATTAGACTCCAGTAATAAAACGCCATTATGAAAAATCACACTAATTTTTACTATTTTTATTTTTCCGGTTGTGACGAATCGCGATAAATCGGCACATTCATGGCATGAAAATGATAGAATGGTATTTCTCTTGTGAGGTATATATTTTCCTGAAGACAAAGCCCGGGGAAAAAAAGATATCGGTATGAATGGAATTATCAGTGTCGTCAAAAAGATTTGTAATATTTAACTTTCTTATCTTTTCACTAGCTCGATTTCGATTGGATGAACCGTTTGCTATCTACAAATTCATTTCTTAAAAAATCGGTTGGTTCTTCCGGTCGACTCATCTCGATTAAATTTTACTACAAATCGTTCATCACAAATCTTTCATCGCGAAATTAACCGTAAATTTCCATCCATTCCCATTATTTATTATTTATTTGAGTAATAAATCTAAAACATATCTTTCAATTTTAATTTCTTCATTAACCAAAATTTTCATCAGTTTTCGGGAGTCCGAGGCTCTCACGAGAGATTATCTTCATTCCACTTTTAACTTTTGGCACAGTTTAGAAAGTTTGTTGGTCGTGCAGAATTCAGTTGAAATTTTGGTCTTCCAGTGTTCTTATTCCGACAAAGACGTCTCATTAAAATCTTTTCCCCGATGTAATTAAAATTTAACAACACACTGACAATGGTTAATCTAAATTTAGCATCGAGCTTTTTCGATTTGAATTTTCAATTGGCAACCTCAAAAATCAAGAGATCACCCGATTTATTCTATCCACATTAAAAAATCCCACTAGCCCCTAGAATAAATTCACAAGCCAAGTTTCTCAGTACGTCATTTAACCACCTGTACCGAGACTAGTGAATCAACATTGTCGAAACATTGTCTCCCAAAACATGTGACCGAATTCAATGAATGAATTTCACCCCACGCCATTTCCACGTGCCAAATAAATTCTTTCAGTATTTTCTGGTCTGCTTCCCCCAGCAGTTAATCCAATTCTAAATATAATTCGGCTGGTGTTATTTTGTAAATAATAAAAAAAACTCGTGTACTTTTCACTCTGAAATTGGCCGAAACGCCAGTAAATGTTTCACGGATGGAAATCCGCGCATTTTTTTCCAACACGTATCACCGTTTTTTTTTTCCTTTTCCTTTGACGTAATAATGGTTTTTACGTGTAGTCTACATCCGCGTTATTATATACCTATTTGAGTATGTGGTGGGTATTGCATGTATCCATAATATTTCACCCTCTCACCCTCCAACCCCCTGACACCCTACCACCCCCTGGACATGTCCGACCAAACGGCGCCTCACGCTGACGCCATCCAGACCTGCTGGCGACTCTAGCTTTTTTTTTCATTCCCTTTCGGTTTTAATTTCTTTTTTTTTTTTCCCCTTTTTTTTGCAGTCTTTACTTCATTAAATTGCTGTATGTACTCTGTTTCTCACGCGGGGGCGTCGATGCGCACCCCTTCGGCTTAACGTCCACCGGTGGTCACGAACGTGCGGTGGAATTGTAAAAACATACCCTCTTTACTGATGGGAAAATATGGAAATTCAATGGGGGAATAGTGGGAATATTTCGACGGTAATTTCAGTTAATGCACACGATTTTTTATATTTTTTTGTTGCCATTTTTGGAGCAATCGGTGGGAAAAATCGGTTGAAAAATCGTTTCGTCATTTTTTAATTGTGATAATATTGGGATTTGAGGTGCCGAGTAATCGATAAAATAATGAAAATAAAAATAATTCGGAAAGATCGGTTAATTTGGTTAAAGCCGATTTTTCGGTTTTTTTTTCTGTCAATTTTCGAATGAATCGTAAGGAAAATCGATTAATTTGTTTAAATATTCAGTAATAATTTCCCAAGACTTCGAAAATTAATAAATATTCCCCGATCGGTTGAAACAATTGATAACAACCGAATAATAGTCTTCGGGGATTAATTGCTCGTCGTAAATTCCCACCGGATTAATCATAAATTTGTAATTAGTGAATGCACGTACACACATTAATAATTCAAACTCATCGAGCCCAAAGCTTTTCAAAGCGCCACTGAACAATTAAAAATTTTAATACAATCTTCCATTACCACTAATTACAATTTAAACAATTCAATGCAGTGGCAAAAAGGAGGCGAGTAACTGCTCGATATTTCGGTCAATATTTCCGATTCTGAGGGAGATAGAAATTTTTTTGTGGAGAACTTTTTTCAAGCTCTCATTATTCTCTACAAAAAAGGTCCTGAGGACAATTTTGCTATCTCCTGTGGTTCGAGAGTTATTCCTCGAAATCCGAAAGTTTGAGGATCAATCAGAAATTTGGGGAATATCTTCAATTAAAACTTAATTATCTGGTGTATTTCATAGACCAGGGCAATGACCTGTTCAGAATGGAGTAATGAGTTCTGCCAGTGCCAGAATTTACAGAATAATCTGGATGGGAAATCCAGTTGGTGTCTAGATGAAACAATGAGTAATTCCAAATGACTCATACTCGCGTCATCTATTTCCATTGAATAGTTTGAGGTGTTGGAATTGAATGAAAGAGTCCATGCAAAATGGCAATTGAACAATTCGCAAGTTTTGAAAATTCAATTCCTCTTCGATTATTCCATGTTCCCAATTCCAATTACTCGACCAAATAAATTATGACGATGATTTAATTTTAAAAAAATTACTTCTGTCAAATGAATTGACGATGAATAAAAAAAATTACTTCTGTCAAATAAATTGTTAAAACTATCAAACAAAAATCAATGGAGCATTTATCTAGCTTGTCAATTTGAAGTATTTCTTTTTACAGTTTGTGTTGAACTGTTGGGATATTTCGCATGCGTTTGGATATTTTTCTAATCACTTCGTAACCAAAACTCAAACCACTCACTCCGAAATTGGTGATGAGAATTTTCCACTTGAATTTATCTCGATGTATTCCACAAATGTTGAGTTTCATATCTCCTTAAACGGTACTTCCACCAGGAGGTAAAATACCTGAGAAACCAGAATGAGTAAAAGTGGGGCTTTCTTCATCGTAAATCCACGATTTTTTTTGTTATTATTATTCCAAATGCCGACTAAAGCCGCGGAAAATTCCATAAATAAAGCAATGAGACTTTTCTTTAAATGCAATTGGCTCTGATGACCCAGGGCACGAGTGCCTGTAGAAATGATGAGTTGAGAGTACTCGGACGACCCAATTAACTCTGTTCTATCAACTCTGGCCAATTCTTCTGGTATAGACTTGAGCAATAATTAATGCCACGAGGAGCAATAAATAAGACGGAAAGAAATACATAAATTGCAAATAATCCATCAAGTTTTATCAATCTGTTAGGAACCTATGAAAATTACAATATTTTTTCATTCCATAATTTTACATAAATTATTTTCTGTAATTAACAGAATATTTCTTTATAAATTAAATAATGATGATAATAATTACAATAATAGTAATTATTATTATTCTTTCTGCATGCCTTTATATATTTATAAATAATATAAATCTTATTAATAAAAAGTATTCAAGACCGTAATGATTTATTGAAGTCTAATCAATATTTCCGTCACCAGTCCCGTTGATATCGCTGGACGATTAAAATAGCGAACGAGTAAACAAGTGTAAATTAAAAGCTCGAAGTGTGCCGTTGTTTATTGTGGCAATCCGTAATGTATTTATTATTTATTGAAGTGATTGTTGCTGCTCAATTTATTCCCCGCATCCCCGACAAAATCTAAGAAGAAAATATTGAGAAATTTCTTATGGGACAATTGATTTCACGCAAACTTTTGAATATTTTTTTGAATGTTTCAAGAGAGAACTTGAAATGGTGAGAGTTGAGATTTTAATACAATATTTAATATTTGAATTCCAGACATCATGAAGAGAGAGGCAGAGGCCGGCCCCATGGCAGGCGGCGGAGGCCCAACAAATCCTCATAAACGTTATCGTCAAGGCGACGACGAACTACGGCTTCTCATACCCAGCAAGGTAACACATTCAGTTATTGATGTTCAGCCGATTATTTACATTGAATCCACCATTCATTATCACGGCCAATCGTTCACGGATATCCAATCAATCAATTCTGTAGCGAAGGGGTGAGATAACTCGATTTCAAGATTTTTATTGCTGGAGATTATCGATTTATCTCGACAACTCTCGGTTTAACGTGGAAAACTCAGAGGACTTTTTTGGGCCTGATTAAATTCTTGACAAAAAAGGTCCTTTGATGATTTCTCGTAAGATCGATAGTTTTCCATTCGCTCTGGATTTTTTGGAGTCTATTTACAGGGGAAGTTGCAAAGTGGGGCAACTCGATTTTAAAAATTTTTCTTACTGATAATTATCGGTTTACCTCGATTACTGTTGATTTGAGGTGGAAACGTCGTAGGACTTTTTTGTCGCTGATTCAATTCCCGAGAGAAAAGGTTCTTTGATAATTTATCGTAAAATCGATCGTTTTCGATTCGCTGTAGATTTTTCAAAATCAATTCAGAGACGAAGTTGTAAAGTGGAGAAACTCGATTTGAACACTTTTCTCTTACTCTTAATTATCGATTTATCTCGACAGCTATCAATTTGAGACGGAATGGTTAGAGAACTTTTTTGTGGATGATTGAATTTCCGATAAAAAAGCTCTTTTGATAATTTCTCGTAAAACCGATAGTTCGTCATTCGCTCAGGAATTTCATCGAGAATTGCGTGATTTATCCGTAAAACCTGTTATATAACAAAATATTCCTTGCACAATGTATTAGCCTATTCGAGAGATGTATAAATAATGAGTGTTGCAAAATGATGCATGAAAATCCCACGATGTAAATGGCAGTCGGCATCTAGGACTCGCTCTGATTCACTTTTACCGTAACGAATGTCCCCTCGTCAAGGACAATCCCCCGGATTACCCACATCTAGAATTGATCACTAAATACCCACAAGTACATAATTTCTTTACACACAACATGCCAGAGATTCTAAGAAATATCTATCGCAAGTTCGCCAATACTCAAACAAAACAGATCAACTTCAAAATCTCCATTACCTTTAAAATGCTGATATAAACATCAAAATAAATATTAATTCATGAAAAAAGCATCCGACTAATAATCCGAATAATAAATTTCATAGAAATACAATAGTTCAAAAATTAATAATTGAATCTAGAGTTGTGATTACTGAAGCATTAGTTAATTGGAAAATAGGCGGATCAATCAATGAAGATTGAGATTAAATAAATAAGATTAAAAATTGTAAATTCGCAGAAAATAAAAGGGAGTATTGACTACAGTTTAATGAATAAATTCCACATTATCATGAATTTCCAATTGTTGAAAACCGCATCGATGTCCATGACATAAGCACGGACTTCATTCACTAGAATAATCAAAAATGGGTAATAATAAAAATAGTAAGACGCCTCTGTCCAGTACAAAACGGCATTCCAATGTATCGCGTAATAACTATCATCTCGGTTGTGGATTATAACAATAAACACGTTTTATGGTGCAACAATTCGTGACGCTGACTTGTTAAAGAACACCTCTTCACATCATGAATAGAAATAAAACGATGGGTGGGCCCTTCAAACTGGATAATACCTTCTGCATAATCTCCGAGGATAACCTGTTCAAGGAGTGGCCTTACGCAATCCTTGACTTGAAATTCCTGCAAGGGATTGGGCTCGTGACTACGATAATATCCCAATTAACTGTCACGCATAATTAATCATCTAATTAACAACTCCCGAGTGATTTTGATAAATTGAGAAGATCGGATGCTTAAGTTAAGAATTCAATTTCACGACACGGCAAATTAAGTCTTCAATGAACCACGGAAGAACATCCGTTCTCATCTCCACTCGTTAATTTTATGTCTTTTCACCGATTTTAATGAATTTCTTTATTATTGTTACACTATTCTACTATTTTAATCTGATATATCGTTTTGTTGTAGGTCGCTGGGTCAATAATTGGAAAAGGCGGTCAAAACATCACGAAACTACGCAGTCAGGTAAGATATCCAATACTTTGGTGGCTGTGACATTTGAGTTGAAGATTTTCAGCTACAGACTAGGCTATCATAAATCTCTCCTCGTTATTCATTGTCAGTAGTAATGAATTGTTTTTTTATTTTTAACGCATTGTCTATGAAAAGACGATGAATTGTGAAAGATCGAGGAATTTTTCTTCATTCAACTCAAGTATGAGAGTTGATTGAATCGGGGGGTGAGTATTGGGAAATTATTCTCGATCTTTCCCTCACATGTCGATCTATTTTATTCAATTGTGAGAGCAAGATCGAGATTATCGACGAATTATTTATCACGTGTATCCCCTCGTGTGACATGTTCCTCGCGAACGTACGTCGCCCGCATTATAACGAATTGACAATTTATTGAAGAAAGGGGGCGGTTTTGTTTTGGGTGATTAACACTGGCGATTGTCAATGGATCGGTTGTGACGGAGGATATAAAATCGGTTCAATAAAGATGATATTTTGACAATAGTAAAACAAATACACGGAAGAACGAACGATTAACGCCGAAATAATCGGTAGATCGTTAAGATGAGTAAAGAAATAATTAATCGTCAATATTTCATCGATTTTCTTGCAACTTTCGAAGTAAATCCTTGATTGAATATTCAATCACGTCGTGCAGCATCGAGAGATCAATAATTACAATAAATAACATTAAAAAAAAATCAATTGAATTCAAAATATTAAAAATAAATAACTGATTTTTTTTTATCACAACTATTGAACTGATTTTTATCATCGATTTATCTGTAATGAAAATGTGGATTGAAAGGAAAAAAAAAAACTTGAATCTTGCATCTTCTTGAAATCAATAATTTTCAATCCAAATCGTTATTTGAAAAAAATGCGATTTTTCTGACTCGATATGAATAAATCATACCGATCTCCATCACATGGTGAACACATGGGTTAAAGTATAGAGAGTTTAATATATAAATAAATAAAAAATAAATAAAGAAGAGAATAAAGCAAATGAGGTTCTAACTTGGTTGATGGTTTGTGCCCTGGCCCCGCCCCGACCCCGGCGTTGCCCCCATTGGTGTTGCCCCGGCGTTATCCTGGCTGTTGTTGCCAAATGCCGGTTGCCCTGCCCGGAACTCTGGAACCCGACGCGCAATCCGGCTATTGTGTGGACCACCAATCACCCCGAACCAACAATCAACATCAACCAACCAACCACCAATGAATCACCACCAACTACCACGGCCCAACAGTACAAAGCCTCAATCATTGTACCCGATTGCCCCGGACCCGAACGGTAATGCCAAACACCACTACTTAATGTCTTAATAACTCTTCTTTGTCTAATTAAAAAAAAAACAGAAAACCAACAGATACTGAGAAAGCAGGGATTTTTTTTATTTTAATTTATATCTATTTTTCAGTCTTTTACTGTCACTGCATCATTACATTTACCGATTTCTCATTGTTTTAATCGTTAATCATCTCTATTATCTCTCTCATTTTTATTGTTTCTATTGTTTATATTGTTTTTATCATTTTTATCATTTTTATCATCATAACTCTATATCTGTCATCGGTATTCGTCATTTGGTGTTGTTATCATTTGTTCTTGCTAAAATCACTTTAAAGTTTATCATTCGTGTCACTGTCATGCGGATTTACTTCACAAATTGTTTAAGTCTAATGCTCGATGGTATAATAATGATGAATTTATCTCCTGATTAGGGGTGGGTTTAGTTATGATATTTTTTTAATTAATGGGGACATCGGAATTGTCGTTGTCCCGAGATTTTCGCGATCGATCTTACCGATTTTTATTGTTTTTTGAGGGTTTTTCATCGTTTTTTTTTCTTTTTTTTTTTTAGTTCTGTCTCCTGTCTGTATCTTCATTCATTTATCGCATCTTTCTTTGTTATAATTGTTTGTTTTTAGTCGGCAGACGTGACAAATCTGATAATTTTTGGAATTTAAACCTCACGACAAGAGAATCTACGAACCCGAGGGCATTTTTATTTACAGATTCATTAGTAAGATATTTATTTAAAAAAATGAGAGGTGTTGAATAATGGACAAGTTGTCCTAATTATCCATCATTTATTGTCCATTTATTTATTTGATATTTCAATGATGGTCTATTTTATTGGAGACTTTTCGAGAAACTCCTCCATCGGTCACAACTCCCAGATGATTATTTTGAAACGCTGTTTCTTTTTCATCTGTATCAATTATTCCTCCTGCAGATTAAGTTGATAATTCCCAGGTATTAATGGCATTTCAACGTTGACGAAAGGAACCAGGAGAAAAGACCATTGAGAATGACAATCTCAATAATTCTACGAGAAACGTTCGCCCTCGTTTCTAATTTTGAAACATCACTCAACGATACAGCCCAATGCTCCACGATATTCAATTCGAATGAATAGTAAACAACCGCTATTCCTGTTTGTAAATAGATTATAGATGACGGTATATACCTACCGCATAATTCGGTATGAATTCCCATTCCAGAAAGCTGGCGATTTCAAAATATTTTAACGATTAAGGATGTCCAAGCAACTTGTGTTTATATTATTGATTAGTTTGTCAATTTAATTGATATTCTGTTATTTGACATTGGATATATTGTCTATTTATTAATGGATAATTCGTTTCGGTGGAATACGGAATATTCAGCACTGATAAATCGATTAATTTATTGTTAATGGAGCACATTAGTTATTAACTAATGACCGAGTCATGGAAGATATTCGTTTATTTATTATACCATTATTCAAGTAACTGCATTCCAATCTTCAGATGTTTTAATGGATTTAATAATAATTGGATGATGATTAGATCGATAATTTAAATAATAATTTGATGATGAAGTAATTAAATACTTGAATTGATAAAAAAATATTGTCATTCTACGTAAATTGGATTTTTCCGTTTTTTTTTGTTTCTAATATTGGAATTTTAAATAACAAATATTTGTAGATAGCAAGATTTAAACAAATGGATTTGTTAACAATAACTAATCATGTTTATCAGTGTTACGAGGATGTGACTGTTGTCACGAGGTGCTTATGAGCATTGAGGGAAATATTACCAGACAGCAAAGGCTAGACAGCTAAATGTTTAATATTTTTAATAAGGATATCAATTATAATATCACGATTATTCACACGATACAGTTAATATTTCTGTGTGCATTCTTAATTGGGAATTATGCCATTGACATATCAGTCAGGACAATAGGAATATCGTTTTAACTCAAGTCTAATTGTTATTTATCGTAACTATCACCAATACTCGAGTTTTTTATGATTATAGGGTCCTGACTATCAGCTCAGATTTGGACACTGTGCTGCAGGTGGTTAACAAGGTCGTACCCAATCTTGAAGAGGTGAGATTACTTGAATTGTTTTTTTTTTGTGGACAATTGGAGGGAAATTTAATGGATGATTTATTTGCAGAATGGATCCAAGCATGGAAATGATGAAATTGATGTGCGCATGCTGGTGCATCAGAGTCAGGCTGGATGTGTCATTGGAAAAGGAGGACTCAAAATAAAAGAACTTCGTGACGTAAGTGCAAATTTGACTCATGCATGTCAGATATAAATTAGCAAAATTCGGCATCACCAAGGAAGGCGTAAAATGAGACTGTCAATTTTATTTTCGTTAAATATTCTGGAAAATACTCGTTATTGGAACAAATTTATTGAGACCTTTTGTCTTCGAAATTTGATTATCTAGAAAAAAGTCCTCGAATGTTTTCTCCTGAAATCGATAGATTCCGAGATAAATCGATGATTATACAATTTCTTCTCATTTCAACACAATACATCAGTGACTTACACATCAATTTACCAAGAATCTGTTGATTTTACGAATAAACATCAAAAGAAATTATATCCTCAAAATTGAACGAACTCGAAGAAAGTCCTCTAGAGTTTTCCCCTGAAATCGATAGATTCCGAAATAAATCGATAATCAATAAGGAAAAAAGTGAAATTCAGACTCGTCTCGTTTCAACAATTCGCTTCAACGATTTTCTGTTGATTTCCCCATGCAGTTTAGCTCAGTAAACTAGGAGTTTTCTCAACTGATTTATCAGAAGAATCGTTAAAAGATAATATTGATAGGCAAAAGGAATAGACAGATGAGTCAACACGTAACGGACCTCGTTTCGGTGTATAAAATTCCCCCCCCAAAAAAAAAACAAAGACGTGGTACCACCACTCACCGACGTCCCCGACGTAAACCGCTTTATTTCGATTCGAGGTCGTGTCACGGGGTGACTTTATTGATTCCACTCACGGCACTGCATCCTCTCCAGTACAACCTGATTCCATTTATCGGTGTAATCGAAAAAAAAAAAAAATTCCTCGCATAAATCAACACCAAAAGCCGATTAAATCCACGATTATTTCTCCATTCATGGGGTTATCACAATTACTGCAATCACCAATAGCAATTACAAAATGCCAATTGAATTGAGAACAAGGGAATAAAGGTATAATACTTCCTGTCTCGTGGTACGAGTGAAAATACAAGTCGTCGGTAGGCAAAACTTCAATATCAGTGGCGCAACTTCCTGCTCATTGAACCGTCATTTCCATCTGTCAATACCATCGATTCTCAATGTCATGGGAAAAACATGTTACGCACATTTTTCCTTTTTTATCATTTTTATTGTACTCTCGGTTTTGAATCGCTTGTGGAGTTAGCACATGGTGTTTCTTTCACAAAATACTCCATATTGTACGCTGGCATATGACATCCTCAATTACTGCTGCACGCAAATTAATAATAGTGCATTTATTATTTCCATATGTTGGAAATATTACGTGACGCTGTGAAATTACTCTCATGGGGAAAGGGACGGTAAAATTCTCGGACAAATGTTGTCTATAGAAATTTTTTATTAATTAAAAATAGCTTGATAAGTTTCATTCGATAATTTTTGGTTGATAAATTGATGGCTGTTTGCGGGAATGGAGTATTTTGGAGTTGTTTTAGTTGGTAGTGGGTCAACAGTCTGAATTATCGATTTGGAGGGATGAAATATAATTGGAAGGAATCTCGGGGGCTTTTTGGGGCTTGGGAAAATAATGTTCTTGGGAGGAAAGCCACATTTTTCTTTCCTCTCTCAATTTTCGTCTGTCTCGTTTCCTTGGTGGGTTCCTCTTTGGCGACATGTGTTGCTATGGGGGTTTGGCCATCACGCAAACCAAACAGGTGCTGTTTCAGGTAACGGACGCGGTGTTAACAGCTGCCACGCCAGGTGTACCAGACATCTACCCAGCCCTTCATTCTCATGATTTTTCTCTAGGGTATATTCCTTTTACAATGATCCAGCGTGCCTTTTCAGCTTTCGCCTTTTAATTTTCGTTCTAATGTTAAATTATTTTCTGTCCAAGTCCTTTTTTCAAGTTTTTGACCCCTTGGGGAATAGAAATTCAGTTTTATTTTTTTACTTTCATTACACATTTGCTTTGGAATTTTTTAAACAAATGGGGGAGATGGGCTTTATTAATTATCAAGTTGTAATAAATTTTTCTCCGAATTTTTATAAGGTTTTCTAGTTTTAGAAATGAGATTTTAAAGGGCAAGGCTAGATGTCTGGATGCCGATTTTATTTTTAAATCAAATGATCGAATTGCGCTAAAATCAATATTAAATGGCATTTTATAATCGGTAGGCGGAAAAAATATCCCCGGAAAAAATAGCCCACACACCCGGAACGTGTTAAAACCCACCCAATTTGATAGACCATAGGGAAATTAGAGTCCCTGAAAAAGTAGACAATGAAAAAAATAATTAAATTAAAAATAATTAAATTGAGCGAGTTTTAACACGTTTTGAATGTGTGGGATATTTTTTCCCTGGGATATTGTTTCCGGGATTCTTTATAATCATTCAATAACTCCCGAAATGTCATAATCGTTCAATAATTTCCCCGCGTTTTTCCTAAAGTTTTAAAAAATTCACAAACCTCAAAAAAAAGGACTGAAAAAATATCGTACGATCATGAAATTTTGGGAGTCATTAAATAACACCAAAATGCAAAAACGAAATATTTTCCGGGTCAGTCCAATCAACGATTCTCCAGAAAACTAAAAAAAGCCGGTGATTTAGTCTAAAATGGGTATAAAATCCTTAAAAAATAATTTTGGTCGAGGACTTCGTGCCTCTGGTGCATTTGTGAAAATTCATCCTTACAAATTCCCCCTCCCCATGACCGGAAATGAGGAAAGAAGGGTCTTTCAGAGTGGTTGAGGTACTGGGGTGAGTCCAGAATGGTTTCTTGTGGATTTTTAAAACTTGCTGGCATCAGTTGATTTTCGTTCGTCCGCCTGATCAGTTCGTTCTACCTCAAACACTTTGAGAAAAAAAATACTTTCGCTAATTAAACAGTTTCTTCAACTCACCAGCAACCCAGACCATTGAATCACCAGGATAATTTCGAAAATACTGCTTTCGCATCAATTAATCAACCATTAATTAAAGCAGAAGTAATTGTTTTTCTCGGTGCATCATGTCTCGTTACATTAACTCGTCAATAATTAATTGTTCACCGCGTCGTGTCGTAAAGATTTATCGAATTATTTGAGTGGAATTCCTCGTGTGCTGCAGCGTAAGATCTTTACGAATTTTATATTAGAGTTGTTAATTATTTGTGTTATCGTATAGTTTTTTTTTTTTTTGTGTATTATCTCAACATTTTGTCGTACGTGAAATGGAAATGGTTGTTAAATTCTCTCGCTCCAATTGTCGATGGCGTATCGTCATCCCTCGAGTTTACGCCAGAATTAATGCCGAGTCAGGTTCAATTACCAACGACAACACTCGACCTCTTGAAAACGTGTTATTTTCATTTTTAACGTCGACTACAAAAAAAATTGGATTCTGAATCCAAGAAACCTCGGGATTGTGATTTCAGAAAAACGAGAATATCTCAATTGAGATGCGTTGATTTTTTAAACTATCGATTCAAGCTAAAAACACTGAAGAACTTTTTTATAGCTGATTTAATTTCCGACAGGAAAGGTCTCTTGATATTTCCTTCTAAAGTCCATAGTTTTTTACAAAATTGTGTATTTAACAGACTCGTAAATTTTCCATTTTTTCGTTTTACTCTTGACATTTGTGCTAATCATCGATTAATCTAGACAGAAAAATACAATTCTAGATTCAATGAATAATTAAATCAACACAAGTTCAAAGACAACATTCACCAAAATTTCGAATGATTTTTATTTACCTCATTCAATCGTAACGTAGAAAAACAAGTCATAAACCACTGAAACTAACAGTGAAAGATCGATTTAGATATTGAATAACTTGGATTTCAATTATCCAGGAATGTAAGACAGTTCAATTATTAGTGGATTATCCGAGTGTTAATTACGCACTCTGTAGCCACCAAAAGCCAATAATTAGTGCTACGATTCCCACGATGTAGAGGTAAAAATTATCGGATGAATTTTCTTCGGTTTTTGCATTTCCCGCCACCCATCCTTGTTTGAGTTGACTGTTGGTCCTCTCCTCAGGGACTACCTCTCCAACCAGATATTTCTTCATTATGTCTAGAGCGTCCGTTGAGTGTCCAACATCATCAAAATCCTCAGATGCATCTTTCCCGTGGTGATCCAAAAGGACTTCCTCACCCCCAGGATGTTCATTCAAAAAAAGCGTCACGTCGTATACTTTGTCGTGTATTACGAATCTTGTACTCTTGGAATCAGTCTCTGTTAATTCTGATCTTCTGAATTGCTTAAGCTCAGTCATTGTTGCTTGGAGTCCTGAAATAAATTCCAATAGCCGATTAATTAATTAATTAATTACGCAAATGAATCGAACATTCTGAGAGAGTAGGACAGTGAGACGTCTTCAATCGTCAATAACGTGGAATCGGTAGAGTGAAATTCAATGATTTTTTTCTCATTTTGAAGGTCTGGCTTTGAGCTTTGAACCTGGAGAAAATCGTTGGATTTTATTCCCTGGTTCCTGAGTTATTGACGATTGAAAAGACGTGTGGGAGTTGAATAATAATAGATCAGTTGAACTCAGTGAACCACATTTTCCTAAAAATCTCCGAATTGAACAGAAATATCAAAATTTTTATCAGAACCTTTCTCGTAGGTTCAATCGAGTGCTTCAAAAAAGTTACCACAACAATTTTTCCAATCCCTCGAGATTCCGAGATATCCTCCAAAAACAAAATGCACTTGTTGCCCTCCACCGAAATTAAGATCAAACCACTAGACTTTGAATTAAAATCGAACGATTCCGCACAGCATCACAACATGGCGTTCCCTTTTCCAACTGAATAGACAATCCAAGTAGACCTTCAATTACATAATTCATGAATAACAGAACTACCACAAATTGCTCTCAACTGAATCCCATAAACGTCAATTAAACTCTCACTATCAATCTTAAAATAAACAAAGTAAAATTAAAAAAAAAACTCTAAAACCGTAAAAATCTCAACAGTCCCATCAATTCCCATTCCATCATCAATTTATTGCACAACCAGAATGACTTTCAGTCTTCACAACTGGTAATAATCAACATGGCGTCTGACATTTCATATAATCAGTGCTATTATCATCTAAACAGTTTCCAATGCGCAATAATTCATTCATCAATACATCCCCGATAAAGCCATTAATCAATGCACAAGGTCGATCGACCTGAACCAATTAAAAAACTGCTGGAGACGCACTTTTCTCAGGTTGAATTTTAAAATTGAAAATTTAATTTCTATTTCGTTAGTTCCGGGCCACGTGGCTCGTCCTCGAGGTCCAAAGATTATCCACGAAATAATTAACTCCATTCATCATCAACATTATCACTGGCATTTACTGCGCATTTCAGTTATCAGAATAAATCCTCATTATTCACTCACCAATAGGGATGTGACGAGTCGTGAACTTGTTATTTTATATTTCTAGTTTTTAATTTGGATTTATTTTCTAGGCTAGGTGGTATTTATTTGGACTAATGCACTTTTAAGGAGAAGGTTGAAGGTGCCTGTTAGACTATCATGGCATACAACGCCCCACACTTATATTTATTCTCCCTTCCATCGTCTGGAATTCTCCCACTTCCTTCGTACACTCGTAAACCAGACTAACGCACACTATTCTAACTGAATGCCAATCTCAACTTTTCGAAGCTGCTCGGTGATTAGATGACACTCATATTTTTCTTACTGGTTAATTTAATTTTTTTTTAAACAGAAAAAACTGAATCTCGTGACTTTCAATCAAGTGAATCCTTTTTTTTTTATTCTCGAGTTTCCAGTGCTTGACAATTTTCATTGGAAATAATTGAAAATAAGTAATCATCTCTCCTGATAAGATTACTTGTATCAGCAGAGTTAGTACGGTGTTTTATTCGACTCTCTTTATTTTATCTGACGTGGAAAAATTATTTTTGTCGTGGTATTGGAAATTGGGGACTGGAAATTTCAGATCTCTTGAGAATTCAGAATTTTTGTTGATTCTATCTGGAAGAATAACAAACGTCATATTTCAAAATAATTCGACAGTAAATATTTGTATTAAATTAGAAATTCAAATGTCCCTTAAATTTCAAGAGTTTTACGATTTTGCCGCCCCTCAAAAAAAGGAATTAGCAGTAAATTTCACTGAGTTGACAGATATTAATGATTTGACATGAAGTTTAATTTTTCTAACTGTCTCCCCAAAACAATTCCACTGATTTTAACTTTGCTATTAATTCTAAATGCATTTTAATTATCTAAATTAGTGGATCAACTCCAGTAGTAGAAGAAGAGTATGTAGAAAACAGCAAAAATGCCGACGGAGATTGGTAGCAGTGGTGATGGTTTCTGTTTTTCTGGTTCAATCATCCATTGAGTGTTGTGGCCGTTGTCATTCCTCGAGGTATTAGGTCCAGGATTTTCGGTGCTAGTTACTCCGTCCCCTCCAACTTCACCGATTTTCAAAGTTTCACGTAATTGGATGGCCTCGGTGGTGTGGCCAATGTCATCGAAACAAGTTGTTCCATCCTGACCTGCAAGTGTCAGAAGCACTTCCTCACCACCCGGATGTTCCTTCAGGAATTTAGTCACGTCGTAGACACCACCGTTCATTATCAGCCAGATATCATTCTCGTTGTTGTGACGGGCTACTTCGTCCGCTGAATACAGTGTCACCATCTTCTCTGATTCTTTTCCCCAGTCTGCGAGATTTTATTCCACTGAAAATCCGCAAGACGATTTAATTCTAGAGAGAAAGTGATTGGATTTTCTACGTTTATCTCAAAACAACTCTTCTAGTAAATATCTACGGATCTAAGAGAGCTAGCCAAATTTTCATCTAAACATTTTTTGTAGAGTGGAGTGAGATCTACAAAAAATAATTCAACAAAAATCTTGATATTCCTCGCGGATTCGGAGATATTCACAAAAAACTATTCAACTTGCTGAATTGAATTGTCAGCTAGTTGACTCGTTCGCTGGTAGCGTTTTCGAGGGATATCTCTTAATCTAATAGACTTTACAAAATTTTTCATAGGACATTTTTTGTGGAGCGTAATGTCAACTACAAAAAATGTCTAAACGAAAATTTCGTTGTCTCCTTCAGATTCACAGATATTCCTCAAAAATCAAACCAAATCTAGTCGATGGCGAATGAATTTGTACAAATACCTGGAGCCTCTTCCCAGAGTTTTCACGATATCAAATTCCCAGAGAAAATGACTAGATTGATCCACTCCTACATCAGACAGAGTACCTCAACGTTCTCTGCCCAACTGCCTCCATAAACCGCGATATTTTCCCTCAACTTAAAAAAAAATCCATTCTATTATACAATTATTCTCCGTGAATTGACACAGGACTCTGACGTTTTTTTGCTTGCACAGCACCGAGTCAACAGAGACTGAGTGAGAAATAGTCATCGAAATGTGAAATTTCATGGGTCGAGGGCTGTTTAATTTGCACATAATGGATTTACGGCGATTGTCATCCCGAATTATTTTCACGTTTTCCTGTTTTCTTGGAATAAATTCACAATCACGAGCTCGAGGCGAAATAATTAAACCAGCAAGAGCTCGTCATTTCCGTTCTCGTTGGAGCTATTTTTTTTTTCTCTCCTCTGGGTCTCGCTGACACATGGAATATTGACATTCCTCCTATTGATTTTCAATCCCTCTTGCATGTCATTATTTCATGGAGAATGCGAGACATGCAATACTGCATCTCCAGCCTCTTCATATTAACCCTGTTTTACAACATCTCTCTGTCTTTCAACCGAACGTGCTCTTCGGCCCCCACTTGTAATGCCATCCTTGGGGGCAGCATTAACTCACGCGATATAACGATTGGTGTTCGTGGAATGACGTAGTTACGACATTTGCTTGTCGGCGAAATAATATTTCCAAGTCATAGAAAATTTTGTCATTGTCACTGTCATTCGAATCATTGAAAGCAAAAGAAAAATGTCTACAGCGAGACCTTCGGATGATTTTTCTGAATTCAATTAAGACTAGAAAAATTTCTTGCGTTCAATTTGCAGTCTCATTTTATATCATTTGTTCGGCTGCTCATCATTTGTCGATTTTATAATCACTTGATCAATTGTTATTAATTCAGCGATTAATTATCATGTTGTTATATTTAATTTTGCAGAAAACTGGAGCGAGGATCAAGATATACTCCAACTGTTGTCCTCACAGCAGTGATCGAGTCATTAGCATCTGTGGAAAACCATCTACGTGCATGGAATGCATACGGGAACTCGTTGCTACTATTAAAACAGTACGTATATTACGAAAATGATTATTGACGATAAATATGCGGAGATTACCAATCCGTCCAGCTGAGTGTCCTTGGAAAATTTGCATTTCAATTTTTGTGTCCGACACAATCGTTGGTTACATTATAATATTTTTACTTGTAATATTTTTTTTGAATATTTTGAGGGGTAATATTATTATTTAAAATTTAGAGCAGTCACCCAATCGCAAATTCATTCATATGACAAATGCAAATTTATTCATACGACAGTCGATTTAAATGATAAAAGAGTTTTCGAAGAATATCTCAGAAGGTGAGAGAAATACCAAAATTTTTACCAGAATCTTTTTTATAGTTCTTCGTTCCCTCTGCAAAAGAGGTTCTAACGAGAATTTCGGTAGCTTCTATAGATTCAGAGATATTCCCGAAAAATACCAGTGAGAATTTACACTGACGAGTTGAAGACAATTTGATAAAATATTATTATTGTTAATTGAATAAAATTTTGTGCAGTCTCCATTGAAGGGTGTGAACAACCCTTACGATCCCCACAACTACGATGACTTCTACGCTGAGGAGTACGGTGGCTATGGATCTGGTGAGGGCCAGGGAAAACCCGGGTCATTTGGACCTGGAGGACGTGGAAATGGTGGAGGTGGTGGTGGTGGTGGTGGTGGCGGTGGCCAGGGTATGCCACCTAGGCGTGATGTACGCGGTGGTGGGCCACCAGACATGAATCGAGGATTTCCACCACCACCCAGGGGTGGACCACGTGGTGGTGGCGGAATGTCAGGACCACCAGATCGTGGATATGGAAATTCCAGGGCTGGAGGCGGAAGTAGTGGTTACGAGGGAGGAAATCGTGGTGGGTTCACTGGAAGTAGAGGGGGACCACCGCCTTTCGGTGGTGGAAATTATAATGGTGGGGGAAAAACATGGAACATTAAACGCGAGTAATTGAGTGAGAGTATCAGTTTAATTGGAATTATTTTTTTTAATATTGCAGACAATGGATGGGGTATGCAGGGAAGTGCACCCAATGGTATCAGTGGTGGAAATTCGGGAATGGGCGGACCACCCATGGGGGGAAACAGCCAGAGCAGCCCAGGAATGGGAGGAAATAAAACCAGTACTCAAGTTACTATTCCTAAAGAGGTAATTCTCTCTAAATTCTCATCAAGTAAATTTTCAAATAAATTTTAACAATTCAATTTGTGAAAAAAAATCCCATCAAATCCATTCACATTACATTTACCAAAGAATATCATTATTTTAAAAAATGAATATAAAATTGGAGAGATAGACACTAATTACTGAAAGCGAGTTTTGATGAAGGATTTAACTTATCACGAAAAATGTGAGAAAAAAAAATTGTTAACCTTTTGGTATGAGTTGTCGATAATAAATGGCAATTAAAAAAAATGTCTCTAAATGGAATGTTTGAATATCTAGCTGGCAGGAGCCATAATCGGAAAAGGTGGTGCGAGAATCCGAAAAATAAGATCTGACAGTGGTGCTGGTATAGTAATAGACGAGCCACTACTGGGCAGTAACGATCGCATTATCACAATAACCGGTCTACCAAATCAGATACAGATGGCCCAGTACCTGTTGCAACAGAGGTAATTATCCAAATGTTAGTTCCCTCTTAACAATATTACTATTATTAATAATTATACGACCGTAACCCGAATAATTCGATAATATGGTGAATGTTGTTTTTAATTGATGTATGAAATTGCGATAAATCATTGCTCATTAACTAACAGATAAATTAATTTTTCAATGAACCAAAAGAGAAAATATGTGAAGGAAATTGATGTTATGGTGGAGGAGGAAGTGTTGATAGGATTAATTAACATAATTATTCGTCTCGAGAGAATACACGAACGCCCATTTACCATCCAACGTGCTGAATAACAGAGGCTCCGTTGTATGGAAGACTAGTGATTTTGTTGTTCTACTGTAGAGATAACAAGGAATCACTAATCATCCTACAAAGGTCTTCAATATCTTCGATAAAAAACCAACTGCGCAAACTGCTTTTTTGGATAATACTAACAACAGTAACAAGCTGAGTCATTACATCCACGTCATATCCACATTCATGGTTGTAAATGTTTTGTCATTATAAATGAATTATTTACTGATATCGTTATATAATAGCGCATATTTTTAACTACAACAGGTGATAATTTATTGTTTTTTCTCTCAATTTTCAGTGTGCACGATAACGCAGATCACTATTAAAACTGCAGAGATGAATTAAAGGGGGAGCCAAAGACGTGTTTATAACGATTTTCTTATTCTTTTTTTTTTTTTGTTAAGCAACAAAATATAAACAAACATTTGCCCGTCACGAGGAAGCAAACAATGACGAGATTTCGTACCTGGACATGTGCGATGGTTTTACATGGAAAAGGAAAAAATTGATTTGAGAAAATAACGAGACATGTCACAGGCTGGGGTGGACGAGCCTCGATGTGAGAAATATTTTTTCAGAATTATTCAGCAGACCCAAAAAAAAACGATTCAATGTAGTGAATTAATGTGAAAAATAATGAGAACAACATTAACGCCTTAGACTTATGAATTCGATGGTTATTGCCAATGGGTTGAGTCTATTTAAGAAATGATTATTAATCAACAAGTGGTTTTCAAGAACTCTCGATGCTTGAATTGTAGACAGCCTTTTTGTTCATTTTTTTTTTCTTATTTCTTACGAAAAGTTTTCCTATGAGCATTTTTTCGGATGTATTTATCAGCTTCAATGTAAATAGGTAATAAGCTTACTTTTGAAAATCAGAGCATGCCCTTTTAATTTTATTTTAGAATAAAACCCCATCCTCCCACGTTTCACGATTATTATCGTAAAACTTTTTCCTCGGTAATTAAATCGAAGTGATTATTCAAGTTGTTATTATCACGTAACAGTCAACTAAAATGAAAATTCAAATCAAACACAACTGATGAGTGAAAATATGATATATCATGGCCTATATCTTTTCGATAATTGTGTACAATAATAGTTAAAACGAATAAGACAACCACTCAATCGATGATTAGTCACGGAAATCCGCATTGACGAGGATAAATGAATACAGAGGTGTCAATACCATTCCCAAATTTTCCCCTCATTTCCAAGTATTTCCATTATCGAAATGTGGGATTGACTACAATGTAAATAGAGTAATAACACTTAATCTAGATGTTTCTTTTTTATTCTTGACTCGAATTATTTTCAGTGCACAGATTATTTCAATTTATTAACACTAAGGTACACAATTTATATTAATCCAGACATCAACGAGGAAACCCAAGGAATACGATATATTCGGAAAGATATATTAATAATCTAGATGATTTTAAGGATTGCATTAACTTCAAGATTAGAGGGGAGGTTTCGATGGACAGCATCAAGTGCACTGAGAGAAAAATACACCATTTAAATAAATCATGTCTTAAAAATTCACAAACACATTTTTTTTGCCAATTATACACTGAGATTATATTTTTTTTAATTGTAAAAAATCATATTAGTCTTTAAAAAAATTGAAAAATTAATCCTCTCTACAAGTAATTTTTAATTACGAAACAAATTAATTGATTAATTAATTACTCATTATTATTATTTGATTAATTAATTCTCTAAGCCGAAGTGTATTGGCGTTAAAACCAGAATAATTGTTTAATTATTGTTTTTAATTTTGAATCAAGGGTTTTGTTTGTTTAAACAAGATTATAGAAGTTGTGGATTTTTTCTCTCGGTGCGGGAGTATTCAGGAAATATTATAAATTAACACGACAGTGTGGAGATTTATAATTAATTAATTCCATTGATAATGCAGTTCATCGATTCAACCTCTCCTACATCTCTAATAATCGTAGGATTTATTATTTAAATAATTCACGTGTCTTGCAGACTGAACTCAACTAGGCATTGAAATGAACAAAAAAACAGAAATTGGAAAACTCCCTCTTTTAATAAACAACTTCCTTTATTCACTTTATTATTACTCGGCTATCACTAACATCCTCAGGAATATCGCAAGGGCATTTGTATATCACTGGCTGATTATTCCTCCTCGCATGACTTTTTTTAACAGTCCACTGGAGTCTGTGGATTTATCAATCAAAACAATTTAGACATTGTATTAAAAGTAATTTTAATATCCAGACACGTGTATCGGCAATTAAACTGCATTTTATTGACTTTTTTTTTTATTGTAAGGAGTAATAATAGATGATTAAACTAGAACTTCGAACACAGACGAGAATGAATGGGCTTATGGTGTGGATGAAGGTGAATTATCGAAAAATATTGATGGTACGGATAATTAATTGGCGGGGGGGGGGGGGGAGAGGAAAATCAAGAGGACGAGAGACAAGCTATTACGAGAATTAAGATTAATTGAAATATTAGAGTGAAAGATGTAGCTGATCCGTATGAAATCGATTTGAAGACACATATTCGTGTATTACAGAACATAAAGTTTACAATTATTTGTAATGAATACTTATTATTTGTCCAATAAAAATTAGTACAAACATGATTCTCTCTCTACATTATTTATTACTTAAAAAATCCATTGAAAATTTTCTTTTTTTCGTGTTATTTACATTTATTTTGTCTTATCATATTTTTTTTATTTCTACTAATAAAAATTCTAGAAATTATTCACGATTTGAATAATATATGAATATATATTCATTAATATAGATTGTTAATAATATGAATAATATATATTTATGTTGGGGTAGTATAAATAATATCTGGAAGTCGCAGGAGAATTTGAGGATTAAATATTCCGACTCCTGAAGTCATCGCTCCAAGAAACGTTTCCTCGCACCAAATAATAATAATAATAATTATCAACGCAAGTGTGGGTGAGTGCGATCGATGGTGCTAATAAGCACGTACGTGTTCGAGACACGTTGAGTAAAGTCAAGATTAAGATCAAAATTATTTAGCCCCCGACGTCGGGTAATTCGACAGCGAAAAAAAAAATACACCAAAAAAATCGACCAGTAATTAGCGCTCCCCCGTGTGCGCATTTTTTTCGCGAATGCTCGTCACATGTCAATTAAAATATCAATTAAAATGTCAATTAAAAATAATTCCGCGGGGGATTGGTAATGCGAGATTATTTCAATTTTCCAATTTCATTGGATATCAATGCATCAACAATTTTTTGTTCGACATTTTTTTTAAACATATCCCATTAGGGATAATTATTTTATTAATTAAATAAGTTCAATCAATAATTATTATTAATTTATATTAATCATAATTAATTATTATTATTATGAATTTGTTTTTATTTTAAAAAATGCAAAAATATGTTCATGTTCATTAAATAATAATAATAATAATAATAATAATAATAATAATAATAATAATAATAATAATAATAATGATAAATAAGCGGTGAAAAGCGGTGAAATTTTTCGAATAATATTTATTAAATTCATATTAGATATATCGTGATAACAATCAATTAACGAAATAATAATTTCTTTTAATAATGCGCGATGAGCGCGTGTGCCATCAGAGAAAATCCAAAGTAGAACTCATCCTGACGATGGGTTTTTGTGGGGAATCGACGCTTGCGCGAACCCCAGGGGTTCCTGGAAAGCACAAGTATAACAAGAACCACGCGAAAGCCTTCAACCCTCAGTTATCCGTCGGTTACCGTAGCCCACACACCAGATATCATTAAATTTTTACCACCAATTGCACCAATTGGAAAAAAAAAAATAAATAAAACAATCCACTCAACTCCAATTAAAGACATCAGGACCAATCGATAAATCGTTGATCATTAAATTTTCTCTGTTGAATTCTTGATAATTAACTTGTGGCTTTAAAATTCCGATCGTTAATTGAATTAATAAAAAATAAGGTAAATTTTGCGGATAATCCGTGGGACACCGGAGTTTAAATTGTGTTGTCCTCGGGGATGATGGGGCTTTGATCCTCCGGTGATTTTGGGGTTTTTCCTATTATCGCGGATTCCCGCGTTTTTGGTCGCCGTTGGTTATGAATTTTTGGGTGATATGGCAACGGTAACGAGGTACTGCAGGAGTCAGGGTGATAAGGATGCCGTTATCACCTCGACGAATTGTCCGCCGAGCAGCTTTCCTGATAAGTTTCAGGACTTCTTCGCTGCACTCAATGAAGACACCGATGATCTGCCCACTATGCTAGAGGATAAACTCATACCTCGGTAATTAATCAATCCGATTTATCGATATTTATTTATTTAAAATGCGCAAATCTATATGATTTATTTACTCTATCAATTAAATTTAATGTCCGGTATCCGTCTATCATATTTTAATTGTTCCTATATTTTTATATCTTTAATTAAATAATTAATCTACTTGAAAATATTTAAAAATAGTTATTTGAATTAATTTTCAACTTCAATTTTGTTTTGTTAATAACAAATAACATCGAATTTCCAATTAACTCAAGATTTTTATTTCGGAGATGAAAAATAGTAAAATAGAATATTATTATTGAGATTATTGTTAATTTAGATTTAATCCTAGATTATTTTCTTGCTAGTAATTATTACCAGAAATTAAACAATTAAATTTCCATGAATTCCGGTAAAAATCAAGCATTCGAAATTGCAAAAAAAATATTTTGTTTAATAGAATAAATTGATTTATCAACTTTTTCGGTTAATGAGTTATTCTCAAAAATTCGATTCATTCCACCAACTCCATTCAATTTATTTTTTTATTGTACCACCGGTGCAATTAAATTCTCTTTATTCTTCATTGCCCCTCCGAAAAAGTCCAGTATCATATTTTAAAATGAGAAATGATCAGCAAATTGAGACCTTGCAACGCGCCAGCTGAGAAATACGAGATAATGGGAGTTTCGAACTGAAAAGAGCCTTGTAAATTTTAATTTCACACCATTAGCTACTCCGATAAAACCGAGAGTGTACTCTCATATATTAAAATTAATGATTATGAAAATATAAATTATTTATCACTTGTTCATATTCCTGACCCGAAGATTAAAAAACTGAAAGCAAGGACTGTCCGTTAAAAAAAAATAATTTACGTTAAAAAAAAAAATTTTATGACTACTAGGTCGAATTGTATTTATTTATAATTATTCGTAACAATAAATAAATAAATGGACATCAATTATCCCGTGCTCAACGATTATAAACAAATTATTGAAATACCGAGAAAAGTTCATTCTGCTATTTTTTTTGTGATTTTTTGGGGATTCGTTGCAATTTTAATTGTTGCAATTGCCATATACGATGGAAATTGATAAATAAATAAATTCTATCATTTCACTCTTTATTTTACCGTTCATTAATTCGGGAGTCCAGGTAAAGTGAGTATTTCACACCTGAAAATTTGCACGTAAATTAAGTTTGTTCAGCGTTGTCCTCTGACCTTCACACGGGGATGTTCCATTATCATCCCCAGGGGTGCAGGGGGGGGAAAATAATATTTCTGGTTGATAAATTAATTTTTTAATTCCGTGAAGCAAAAAAAAACCGCAAAGAATTCCCAAGAATTTTCGTTATTTCACCTGAAAAAAAAAAATCATGTCAATGAATTTTAGTTATAAACAATGAAAAATAAACTCTCGTTAAATTTTATATGCACGGGTTTCCCACGATATTTCATCTTCGGGTTTTATTCAATTCTTTCTTGAATATTCTAGGAGGACTGACAGTCCGGATGCCAAGAAAAATAACACGAGGTGGGGAAAACGTGCGTTTCAACGTCGAAGTAGCGAAATCGAAGTCCGATTGCATGGAGGAGGTCATTCTGGAGTTGGACAATCGCATTCTATCACGGAATCTTCTAAATCGCCAACAGGATCACGCAGAAGGAGCTGCAGCATCGCCGTTGCCAGACCAACACCGGATCTGCACAGGTGAAGAAATTAAATTCAATCTTAAACTCATTAAAACGCAGCATTCAAACAATTTCATAAAATTCATTACTCTCCGACTGTTCTTCCTCGTTGTATCCGGAAACCAGCGACTCCACGCCAAAATGTCAAAAAAACGTTTTTATCTGAAATTTCATGAGCTACAAAAAATGTTCTCTAGGACTTCCACCTCAAACCTATAGTTCTCCAGAAAATCGATAATTAAGAAAAGTGTTAAATTCCGTGATTAACTGGTAAAGCGAAATGAGTCGAAATTGATCGTTTATTGAACATCAGTTTACAAAAAAACAATGAATTTCAGGATAAAATGTCAAAAGAATTTTTTTATGGGAAATTTCATGAGCTACAAAAAATGTTCTTTAGTACGTCCACCTCAGACCTATAGTTCTCCAGAAAATCAATAATTAAGAAAAGAGTTAAATTCAGTAGTTAACTGGTAGAGCGAAATGAGTCGAAATTTGCCGTTTATTGAACATCAGTTTACAAAAAAACAATGAATTTCAGGATAAAATGTCAAAAGAATTTTTTTATGAGAAATTTCATGAGCTACAAAAAATGTTCTTTAGTACGTCCACCTCAGACCTATAGTTCTCCAGGAAATCGATACTTAAGAAAAGTATTAAATTCAGTATTTACCTGGTAAAGCAAAATGAGTTGAAATTTGATGTTTATTAAACATCAGTTTACAAAAAAACAATGAATTTCAGGATAAAATGTCAAAAGAACTTTTTTATCGGAAATTTCATGAGCAACAAAAAAGTTCTTTACGGTTTCCGCCTCAAACCCGTAGTTGTCACGGTATTACCGGATCATCCTACAGTCTCACTGAATTATTCGACTCTTATAAATTTCACCTAGAATATTTGAAATCCCCAGGTTCCTGCAGGCAGAGGCAGGCCCCTGGGGGCACTTATCCCCATCCCCGAGGAGTCCCACCAGAAACAGCATTCTGAGTCCTGGGGCTGTCTCGATGACACCCCATTTGAGTCCTAGTCCAACAAGTCCATCAGCTCCTGGCACCGCCTCCAGGACACGCCAGGACCGACAACAACGGGGAAGGACCAGCAGTATGCCTGCAGTGCCTAGACACCGAGTAAGTTACCAACTAATCAAATTTCAAATTTAACAACAACAATAATAACAACAGCAATCCCATACAATTTTATTTTCAACTTATAAAAAATGTATAACTCAATGAAAAATTATTTCTTCTCATTAAAAATTCAACTGATCTTTTATCTTATGATACAGAATCTAGAAAAAAATTACGAACAAAATTGGAGCGATAGATATTTTTTAATTGCTAATTTTCCGTGGAATTGCGGTTTTTATTTTAGAATAGAAATAATTGAGAACCTAGCGAGTAATTATAAATTCACCAGCTAGTAGATTTATCCGTCGACTTTTATCCGAGACATGTGGATATTAAAAAATTGCACGTACAGAGATTTTATCTGGACCCGAGTGAATTGCGCATCTCACGGCGGTATAAAGTCCCGCAAGATAGGGCGTATCATTTTTTGTCGTTATTGTTCACCTCATCATTCTTTCCACCGGTATCTCCCACCTTTGTGAGCAAACCCGAGGTAAAAAATGTTATCTCGAGGGGATGAAAATTATTTACAAGGCAAAATGAGGTGGGAGTGCTTTATCATTATAATGGCTGCACAAAGTACGATCTTCAATCAAAAATTTACAACGCCCACTTATCAATAACATTTGTGCCCATAATTATCCTTTCCATAGCAGCATTAATTACCCATTTAATCCCCCTAATGGATTATAGACATTTATTTATAAAAATTAATAAATAATCACCATCTCATCGTCAAATTCTCCGTTATCGAATTTTCCGTAATTATTTATATCTTAAAATTCACACTAAAATTTTTCAACACATCCATGCACGAAATATAAATAAAAATATAATTAAAGTAATTTCAATTAAATTTATTGAATTAATGTAAATGAAAAATTTATTCCCGAAGAATCTCTCGGATTATAAAAAAATAATTCAAGAAATTCCGGAATGATAGAATTCGACTCAATCTTAAAAATTCAAAAACGCAATTACTTTCCGTTTTTACACGGAGTGAAAAATTCTTCAAAAATTACGTGCCTGTTCCGTAAACTGCCAGTTAAAACAGTATTCAGTAAAAATTACGGAACAGTTCCGCATTTTTTCACGGAACGTTCCCTACTTTTTACAGAACGTTCTGGACTTTTTCCTGAAAGGTTACTGAAAAAGTGCGTAACTGTTCCGTAATTTTTACTGAATACTGTTTTGACTGGCAGTTTACGGAACAGGCACGTAATTTTTAAAGAATTTTTCTCTCCGTGTATGATATCGATTTGATACAATTAAAATAAACATTATTAATTAAATTGCTGGCAGTATCACTCGAGTATCGATTGGTAGAGAAGAATATAATAATTGATGATGGGTAGAGTGATTTATTTAAAATGATTTATTTATGTTTGGGGTGTTAGACCTCGACATCGAGAGCAAGACCTAACCGGTGACAGGTGCTCGCCAAGTCTTTGCAATCAATGCCAAAAGCCAGTGTCACCCTAATCCCATTGTACATTAATTGTTGAATACTAGTATCCAACATGAATTCCCTGTCGATTTTCATTCGCAGAGTGGATGTCTGATCAAGTTTGTATTGTACACCACAATTACTCGTCCAATTTCCAGGATTATCGAATCCCCTCAGTGTTCCAGCGATGGCAGTCTTGAAATTTTCATTCACTGAATGGAGAAACCGAAATTCATTTGGTAAATAGGTGAATTCCACTCATCCCATACCTCTGTACACAGCCGATAAGTCGTAATGATCGGTAATTCCAGGGGAGCACTTTAAATAAACATTTAAATCGGTGAATTTGTATGTCAATCCGATATTACTTGCGGTGAAGGAGTTGGAGATCGATTCATATTCAAATTGATAGCCAATGAATAGACTCTTCAAGCCGATTACAACTCCAGCTAGGAATTTCAAGTGTCTGTCTAGGGCATGTGCTGAAAGACAAATTGATAATATAACTATTTTCCATGTCCATTTACTTCCTGATTCAATCGATTGATTTAGGTGAAGGTGAAATAATCACTCAGTTTTTGAGGAATATCTCGGAATCTATGGGAGATAGTGAAATTTTTGTTGATACCTATTTTGCAGCACTCATTCCGATCTACAAAAAATGTTCTACGAAAATTTTCATAGGTCGCTTAGATCGAGAGGTATTCACCCAGGAACTTAGCCGAGCAACGAGGCAACTTGCTGTCAATTTGACTCAGTTGATGGAGTCGTTTTTGGGACATACCTCGGAATCCAGGAGAGATATCATATTTTAGTTAGAATGTTTTTTGTAGATCTCAGTGCTCTCCATAAAAATTGTTATCACGAAAAATTGGCTATCTGTCGTAGATTATGAGGAATTCCTGATAACGCGCGACCTAACGCACAGATCGAGCAGCTGCCATTGAAAAAGTCATTCTTGAACTTTCCGGTTACTTGCAGGCCAGAATAATTTGTGGATGGATTGTAGGAGTAACTCCCGATTAATCTTAACCCCTGGAATATCTTGTCATCGATTCTGTACTCCAAATTTATTGTACCGTCGCTGTACCATTTCTCGGAGAGAACTCCATAATCCTGAAGTCGAAGTTTCACCGCAGCATCTCCACTCGCCTCCACACAATTTTCAATTATTCAATTGCTGTTGTAACCCTAATGTCACACTATTTACCTCGGGATTTTCGCAGTTGAGCTTGTAGTTGCTATCAATTTCAAAGTCCCGGCTGGATCTCGTTTTCAGCGTTATCTTGATTACTCGGCGACCGTAATCGTAACCTGAGGTCAAAATGTTGCGGATACTTTGGCCTAGATCAGTGAAACTCGGGGTGGACATGACGGGAACAGATTCGCGGAATAATTGAAAGAAATTCCAAACAACTAACGGTTAATTACCGGTGGGAATCTTTTTTTTTAAGCGGAGAAAAATCGATTTTATCGTTATTTGGGAAAATTAGAATTGATTTCGTGGAATTTACAGTTTAACATTTTAAAAATTGAAATACAAACATTTGAAAATTCTTGGAGAACAATTTTCTTTAGCCAATCACTTTGAACGAGAATTATAATTGAATTGAATTAATTATTTAATTAATTAATTGGATCAATTTAGATGAGGATTAAAATAAATTGAATTAATTGAATTAATTGAATTAATTAATTTATGGGATTTATTATATTTATCCGTTTGAAATTGAATAATTGAATTAATCTTCTACAAATTCTTAATCTGTCGGAAAATGATGTTTATTTGATATTTAATTTTTAACAAAAAGAAAATTGAGAGGGGTTTTTCCTATTTTATTGGTGTATAAATCAACTCGAATTTCTACACCCGAAATGTCAATTGTAAAAAATAATAATTCAACAATTAAAAAGCTTGAACTCTTCTTGCGAAATCCGGGATTTTAATTGATTTTTCGATATGTATTTCCAAAGAAAATTCCGATAAAACGAATTAAATCACATCTGGATCTAGACATAACAAAAAAAAAAAAGTCACAAAAGGGACTCAACCATAAATCCATATCCGGATAAGTCGGGTAAAATGAAATTGGGGAAAATCCTGAGGGAAATTCCGAGATTTCACGGAGCATTAAGTCCGTTCAATATTTACCGAAAGGATAAAGCAAGCAAATGCATTATAAAAATTCAAACTCGCATACTTCAATATTTTTACAGATATAAAAAAAATAATGAAATTTTCCGATTGAAATTTTCATATAATTTTCTTATAATTCTGAATTTTCAGCCGATGCTCGCGGATACGAAACGCGGGGGAATTTTTGGAGACGCCGAGGACGAGGACGACGTGGAGTATTATCGGCTGAGATCTTTCTCCATAACTGCCAATGGAGTTTTCAATCTTGGAGATTCCCTGAAGACCCGAAGGAGCAAGAGCATCAACAGCGTCACATCATCAGGAACAAGTTGCAGCAGCACCAGAGACGCCAGATTACTCAGGTAATTGACCAAAATTATCCTTAATTATTAATATCACCATTAAAAATAACGCAGGTAATTAATCAAATACCTCATTAATCCATTACACTCAATTCCCAATTCAATAATAACAATAATAATTTGATAATTAATCATTTTAATGATTCCATCTTGTAAAAAAAAATTGATGAAACGCTCATTAATCCATTACACTTAATTCCCAATTCAATAATAACAATAATAATTTGATAATTAATCATTTTAATTATTGAATCCTCTGAAAAAAAAATTGCTGCTGTTCCACATTGGAACAATGTGTGGAACTGTTCCCTGCTGTTCCACATTCTCTGGTCCAGGACGTGAATTCCCTGTTCTCGATCATCTCCTTCGAGAAACTTGTTTCACGTTCTCCCGAGAGGATTTTCGTTCTCCTCCTCAAATGGTGTGCAATAAATTCTTCCCGAGAGGCTCACGTTCAAGCAGAAAATGAGCGGAACAACTGGATGAATGAGGCGATGCTGGATGTCACAATCTCCAGTATCTCCTTGTCCTCATCATTGTACTTATTCCGGATGACAATTCTCCTCTTCCCCTGGGTGCAACTCGTCAATGGTTTTTCTCTACTCTATTTTCAATGTTTCAGCTCAGCATCTCAGCAGTCGTGTATCGAGGCAGATGATAACGCTGATAATGAGAACAAAGTCACTAGCTACAAGGTTGGCATGCTGGGGGCTTCTGGAGTTGGAAAAACAGCTCTCACTGTACAATTCACCACTAGCGAATATATTTGCGCTTATGATGCTTCTCTTGGTGAGTGAATCCTTTTTTTTTCATTTCAATGAATTTATTGCAGGAATTTTTGGGGGCATTATCAGATAATTCCAGGGAAATTCCAGGGAAATTCCAGGGAAATTCCAGGGAAATTCGTGCATAACTCCCCGGCACTCCCCGGAAATTCTTCATTAATTTAATTCCATAAAAACCCAAATAATTATCTAATTTCGATCCTATTCACTTCTACTTCCAATAATTAAAATTATCAGAATGATTAATAATTAACCATTAGAATTAACTGAAATGATTGATTATTCATTCTATTATTTTCAAGATTTGCCCAACATTCTGAATCGATAGATTTCGATGTAAATCGAAAATTCAACCCCTGAATTTCAATCGATCGAGTTGAGGAGTTCAACTGTATGCGGAGCTAAATGAAGCCATTGTAATCTTTTTTATTGAAAAATTTCTTTCAGTTATATAACGCGTTTGGAATTTGATTACAATTTCGCGGTGTCTGCATTCGGCAGCTGGTTAATCTCATTTCTACGTAGTGATTCAATTGGCTTCGTAATACCCATCACCATTGCCACACAAATCACTGTCCAGGGTGTATATATGTATGAATATACATCCCCCTCGAATGTACGTGTCAGGGTCGTCCTGATTAATTTCACTGGTGAAAGGAGAGAATTCAGTTGTTTGGAACTCATTCATTGTGTCAGCAAAATTTTACGTGATAATATCAATCTTTCAGTTCATGGTGAATTTTCCAGCAGGGATTTTTCACGCGTTTTCACTCGTTTCAGAAATTCGCGTTTTCTCGAATTCTTTCTTTTTATTGTCGTAATTATTTTTGTTCGTGAACTCTGTGGAACTCATTTATTGTTATTCACAGTTAAAAATATCCACTGCATTTTTCAGAATGGATTTTCTTGTCGTTTTAAGAATTTCGAATTTTCTCGGATTCTTCTCTTGATTGTACTAAAGAATTTTCTTAACTAGGCTATTATTATCCATAATTTTTTTTCTTCAATTAAATTCAATTCATAAATCGAGGAGGTATTCACTGAAATTTGAAAATTCGAGAATTTTTGGAAAAGTATCAGGGGAGCATAAATATCGAGGAGGTATTCGCTGAAATTTGAAAATTCAAAATTTTCCAAAAAGTATCAGGAGCACATAAAAATCGAGGAGGTATTCATTGAAATGGAAAAATTTGAAATTTTCCAAAAAGGATCAGAGGAGCATGAAAATCGAGTAGGTATTCGCTGAAATTTGAAAATTCGAAATTTTCCAATAAGTATCAGGAGTGCATGAGAATCACGGAGGTATTCGCTGAAATTTGAAAATTTAAAATTTTCGAAAAACTATCAAGGGCGCATGAAAATTGAGGAGGTATTCGCTGAAATTTAAAAATTCGAAATTTTTGAAAAAGTATCAGGAGAGCATGACAGTCAAGTAGGTATTCTCTGAAATTGAAAAATTCGAAATTT